AAAGAGTGTGCACCAATGCCCCTTTTAATGTTCACCTTTTTTCAAAAAATAATAAAATGCACTTTTTTTTGCAAGAAAAAAAAAAAAAAAAAGAAAGTGCATTTATTATTGTTTTGTTTCTGGAGCCTCTAAAGCATTGCACCTGCGATCAGTAGATCGCTGGTGCCAAGCAGGTCTCCTGCAGGCCTGTCAGTACAGAATGTGCAGGCAATCAGATATACTGACAGGAAGAATCAATAAACTACCATGCCGCTCCACAGCGCCGTCAGTTTATTGAGAACTACAAATCGACAGCCACAGAGGATGTCAGGACTTGTAGTTCATTCATAGAACACTGCCTTCCTCCAGACATGGCGCTTGGCATTCAGGCCAGAGTTCAATCTTTGTTCCATCAGACCAGAGAGTTTTGTTTCTCATGGTCTCAGAGTCCCTCAGGAGCCTTTTGGCAAACTCCAGACGGGCCGCCATTTGCCTTTTACTGAGGAGTGGCTTCCGTCTGGCCACTCTACCATATTGGTGGAGTGCTGCAGAGATGGTTGTTCTTCTGGAAGGTTCTCCTCTCTCCACAGAGAAACGCTGGAGCTCTTTCAGAGTGACCATCGGGTGCTTGGTTACCTCCCTGGCTAAGGCCCTTCTCTCTCGATCGCTCATTTTGGCCAGGCAGCCCTCTCTAGGAAGATTCCTGGTGGTTCCAAACTTCTTCCATTTGTGGATGATGGAGGCCAGAGGAGTCCCTAGGGTTGGTGTCACCCGGTGCGGTAACACCCCCTCCGACGATCCCCGCAGAATGGATCGGATCTGCGCATTGAGCAAATGGATCGGACACCGTTCCATTATGCTCAATCTGCAGATCCATCCTGCGGGGATCGTCGGCTTTCTTTCCAACTTACCTTTTCGTGGAGCGGGTCCGGAGTCACCCCGTATAGGTTGCAAGCCGACGATCCCCGCAGGATGGTTCGGATCTGCAGGGATAGTCATCATGCAACCTATACGGGGTGACACCGGACCCGCTCCACGAAAAGGTAAGTTGGAAAGAAAGCCGACGATTCCTGCAGGATGGATCCGATCCATCCTGCGGGGATCGTTGGCTTGCTTTCCAACTTACCTTTTCGTGGAGCGGGTCCGGTGTCACCTGGTGCGGGCCACACCCGCCGCACCTGCCACGGGACGCCACTGATGGAGGCCACTGTGCTCATTGGAACCTTCAATGCTGCAGGAATTTTTCTGTACCCTTTCCCAAATCTGTGCTTTGATACAATCTTGTCTCGGAGGTCTACAGACATTTGCTTGGACTTCATGGCTTGGTTTGTTCTCTGACATGCACTGTGCGACCTTATATAGACAGAGATATAGATATATAGACAGAATTCCTTTTCCTTTTGAGAGATTTCCTCTTACTTCCTATTGCGTCTTGTGTACACATACAACAAAAAAAATAAACTACCAGGGGGTTTAACCATTTCCTATTCAAAAAACGTATGAAAAAGAAAACCATACTTCACTTTTCAGCTCTTCTGCAATAGCTGGTCCATGATTTCAAAAGCAAACAGGACTTCAGCCTTTTTAAGAGATAGCAGAAAAAAATGGGTTCTTGGTCTTGGCAGTCTTTAGCTGCCTGGTAGTGTGCCTTCTAGTGCTTTCCCTTGGCAGAGTCCAGTTTGCTATGGACCAGCTATCACAGGAGCTATGGTAGATCACTTTTAGAGTACCCCTATTACAAACAGACTAGTGCATTTGCTAGGAAAGGATAGGTAACATGTACATGTATGTTTGTAGCACTCTAGATGTCTTGAACTGTATTCATACAACAACTATAAATACACTGTATGAGCATTCTTTTTTAGTAAAGGCACATTACTATACTACTGGGTTGGTGTTTTTGGCTTGCCTGCAAGAATTAGACTTGTTACCAACCAACCTGTTACTGAGAACCTGTACAGAGATGTTCTTGTGTGGCTGTAGTTACATTAGGAAGCACGTAGAGATGGCACCAGGTAGATCTTGCAAGGCATTGGAGCCATCTCATAGACAAGAGTTTTACTTTGCCAAATTTTTAAGTTCCTCTCTTGCAGAACAGATGGCCCTGAGAAGGAGATGATGCAGAAGCAGGTTGGACATGTAAGTGTAGCGAACCCTTTCTAATGAATGTCTTATGGGTTTAATAACACTTTAAAATTTTCTTTAACCATTTGACGCCCGGCCTATGGCCAAATGGCATCCTCAAAAGTGCATTACCTTTCCGGGAGGCTGCCATATGGCGACCTCCCGCACATGCGCAGTTTGCGCGCTTGCAGAGCCGCGCAGCGGCGCGATCTGTCACCGGCCGTGTACCTCGGACATGGCCGATGACAGATCTGAGTACCGGCCCCCGTTGCCGGTACCATGTGACCTGCTGTGACCAATCACAGCAGGTCACATGACAGTTGTATACAATGGATGGCTTCATTCATGTCATCCATTGTATTCTACTGCCTAGCTGTGAATGGTCACAGCTAATCACATGCACATGTCATGTGATTAGCTGTGGCCAAATCACAGCTAAGCACAAAAAAAAAAAAAAAACCCTGAATGAATCGATGTCATTCAGGTAAATGCTTGCTTATAGCAAAGTAATTCTTTGCTATAAGCAAATTGTGTAAAAAAAAAATAAAATACTGATCACTTCCCCAAAGTAGTACAATGTTACTATGGTAACATTGTACTACTTTGGACATAGTGAAATATGAAAAAAAAAAAAATCTTTAAAAAAAAAGAAAAAAAATTTTAATAAAAAATTAAAAAAAAATTATATATATATATATTTTTTTTCCCCACACTGTCACCATTCAGTGTCCCTGATCACCGCCATGCCAGTTATATGATGACGCTGTACTGGTGACAGTATGTACAAAAAAAATAGTGAAAATATTTTTTTTAATTTTTTCATTTTCCAAAAAATGACAAAAAAAAAATACGACTTCAAAAAACTCGCTATTCCTCTTCTGAAGTACGTCGGACTGTCTACTTTGCAAAAAGGGGTCATTTGGGGGATATCTGTACTATTCTGACATTCTTGGACCTCAAGAAATTAGATTGGCTGTCAGTACTTCAGGATTGATCAATATTCAGATCTATACCATAGTTTGTGAACTCTATAACTTTCCTACAAACTAAAAATATATATCCTAATTTGGGTTATTTTCACCAAAGACATGTATCAGAATACATCTCGGCCTAAATTTATGAAGAACAATTATTTATTTGCAAACGTTTATAATAGAAACAAAGAAAAACGTGTTTTTTTTTTCAAAATTTTCGGTCTTTTTTGTTAATTTAGCAAAAAAATAAAAACCCCAGTGGTGATTAAATACCACCAAAAGAAAGCTCTAGTTGTGTGAAGAAAATGATAAAATTTTAGTTTGGGTACAATGTTGTATGACCGCGCAATTGTCATTCAAAGTGTGAGAGCGCTGAAACCTGATGGCCTGGGCAGGAAGGTGTAAAATTGCTCGGTATTGAATTGGTTAAAGATTGTGTTTGTTTTTTTTTTTCTTCCACGCAGTCAAGTTAATATGGAGCCACCACAGCACACCAATACAATCTCAAAAACCTTTATTGATTTACAATCTGCCAAATGCAAAATATAAACGGTAATGTACATTAGCCTCACATTTACAAACCTGAGCAAAAATAAGGCAAAAAACTGAAAGGACAGGTCATGTGAATACAGATTGTAGTGTCCCATAATTTGTGCCCTAACACTACTAGATAGATACTTTTCAAAAATATCTTCACTCTGTCAATAAACAGGCTGACTTTAAAAGCCATGGGCACTAAATAGCAGAAAAGAGAGAAGTCAGAAATACACATGCACACACTAGAACACATTACATACAAAGGTTGGAGCACACAAATGTGTGTCCTTGTGTGTATAAGTGAATGTAATATGCAGTGTGTGGGGGGCCCTAGGTATACGTCCCATCTGCTGCAGACAGTATTTTAATAAACAAAAACAGAGGCAAAGATGTGACACATGGCAAAGAAAATCTGTTAATAAAGATCACTGCTAAAAATGCTTGGAAATAGGCAGATAAATACTTAAGCAAAGCATGACCTGCTTAAACATCCCAGTATCTATTCTAAATGAATGCGCCTCTCTTAACCAAAATGAAACCTTAAGCAGTTTAGCCTAGGCAAATATTCAAAATATTTTGGTTGCAATTCTAACAATCCCGATATTTTGGCCAGGTTCACACTTTTAGATTGTGGTACCAACATGTGTTACTGAAACATGTGGTGACACCAGTTAAGCGTGTTGGTGCCTTGAGGTGCCCTTTAGTTTGAATGGCAACCCAACACACTAAGGCAGCTGTAGTATGTTGCATTCCCGAAAAAGGGTCAGGTACAGGATGTGTGCTTGCAAAGCACATCTATTCAAAATAAAGGGCCGCCTTAGCGCAATGCGAGTTAACATGGGTTCATTATAATGCTGCCAAATTGTATACTCTGCCTTGGTGGTCTTACACAGCAGTAACAGACACTGGTACGAGAAAGCATAGTGCCCACCATTCTGGGAACCAGACATCTGAATCACCAGAATTGTATGCTATCAATGGCGCCCAGAGCTCTTCAGGAGAGACCAATATTTGATTTACCTGCAGGAAAGGAAAGTATGACGGATAAGTTCACCTTTTGGAAAATGTTACATGTTCCACCTGTATTTCCCATTAAGGACTGGGAAGAAGGATATATTTTTTTATGTGACCATCAGCAGTGTCTAAAGTTATATTGCTTGTGCAAAAATTCTGCAGCAGAAGAAACCAGCCCAGGTAGCTCCATTTAACTATTAGAGCTTGCATTTTAAATAAATGGGGGCAGGGGGACACGACTACACAAGTGTTTGACAGACCCCTTAGCTAGCAGGGGTGTTGGCAACTACAGAAGTATCCAATTGTGTAACAGAAGCCAATAGACCAACAAACAGAACGTGTTCTGATGTTCAATCTTGGGTACCCGGATAGTCAGTGCTGGGTCCATTGGATGCTTTTCAGATCGATCCCATCTTGCACCATCTCCCACAATGGGCTGCAAAGAATACACATTTATTAAAGACGAAGATATGAGGCAAAAATATTGGAAATTTATTCCAGTGTCATTAAACCCAGACCATGAAGAACTCTCATTACATGTTATATAACAGAGTGTGCACACTCACAAAGCCACTAAAGCATTTGTTTTGTGAATAATACCTGGTTGATCCTGCCTTCAGCTGTCCCTCCCTTCTTCTCTGTGTCCCCATTGTAGGCAGAGATTGTGTAGACCAGCTGGGGTCCTCTACTGAATACGCTCCTAATTCAGGTCCCTTCTAAGCTGTTCATTTCCTCCTTTTTCTCATCTGTAAAGCCCATGTGACTATAGAGTCACACAGGTGGGCGTATACACAGTGGTAAATGGCACTCTCCCTCCCCCCCCCTCCTCCATGTCCTCTTATTGCTAAAACACTATGGGAGTGGAATAAAGTATGCTAAATGATTACATTTCACTAAGAAACTCACAAAAAAAAAAAAAAAAAAAAGAGCTTACTTTTAAACACAAATGTGTATTACCGTATTTTTCGCCGTATAAGACGCACTTTTTCTTCCCCACAACTGGGGGGGAAAAGTTGGTGCGTCTTATACGACGAATAGAGAGAGAATCCGTGAGGCGCGGCCACGGCCGTAGGAAAGGCCGCGGCTTTGGCCTATCTCTGGAGCGGTCGGCCATCTTGGTACACCCGGCGGTGCGCGCTGACGTCATCACCCCCTCTGCTCGTGGATCAGCAATGGGCAAACTACGGGGCGGACAGGATGTAGGCGGGGCAGCGTGACGAACTCCTCTCACAGTCCGCCCTGAAGACCGGAACGGCGCGGGAACGCGGCGAGAGGAACGCGCGGAGCAAAGGTAAGTGAATTGACACAATATGGGGAATGAATTACTATATGGGGGATGAATTACTATGGGGGATGAATTACTATATGTATTGGGTTCAGAATCTTTTTTTTCTAGATTTTCCTCCTTTAAAATTGGGTGCGTCTTATATTCCGGAGCGTCTTATATGGCGAAAAATATGGTATATATATCTAATGTAATAATACCTGTAAAGTTAAAAAAGAGCCTTGGATGCAGATGCCGTTTTGAACAAACTTAAAGCTAGTGTCAGTCATCACTGACTCTGCCTACACCATATTAATGCACAAAAATACATAATTTGATGTTCAATAAATATTTATTGGGAGCTGTAAAACAGTTATTTGATATTTATAATCTAATTTGAATTGCTCTTCAGAAACAGGGTTTTTTTTAGTCGTGACAGTCACAGCACCAATCAGGGCTGCACAGACACAGACTCACACTCACACCGTAGACAGCATTAAATCAGCAGAGTAATAAAAGCTCCTCCCAAGCATCTGTCCCTGCAGATGCCTAAAAAACAGGGAAAGATCATGTGACTACATAACAGTGCTGCAGCAAGAACGTATTCAAAGAAATTAAGAAACAATACAGTGGCATGATATATTTATGTGAATGAATTATGGCAATTAACACTTCTCTGTTAGTATCACTTTAAAGCTGACCTCTTGAGAATAGTGAAGAGCCAAACAGCACTGGGTTTGGTTCAGTTCGGCAGGGGTTTGCCAAACTTCTAAGAAGTTCGGATGCCAAACCTGAACCCCAGTGAAATCAAATGGAACCAAATTTGTCAAATTAAAATTGATGATATACAAAATCTGCTTGCGCTCTTATGTTGAAATAATCAATAAATAAACATGTAAAGCTGCTAACATCTGATCCAATACCTATAGATCTGATAAAGTATAAAAGGCAAAAAGTGATGTAGCGCCAAAACAAGAAGATTATATGAAAAAGTCACATTAAGCCCATAATCAATGTAACATAGTGACACAATCATTAACATGTAAAAGGGCGAAATAGTGCGTGATGGAACTAGAGGAGTAAAAATAAAACACATGTGAGACCCCTGCACACAGTGCACATATCAGAAAAAAGTCCAGTGATCCGTATCACATTCCCTCCACTCATGCAGAATCAATGGACTGTGTGTGGACCCGCACACCCCGAAGTGCAATCCAAAACCGGCTGAAATGGCCTCTCACCTCCTATCTGCGACCCTGCAGGGCCACAGAGCTTGAAAAATCACCACTGGATCAGGATAACCTTCCTCTTGGGTGAATGGCTTCACGATATATTCCCAATATACTGATATTACCTCTCCTGTAATATCCTCAAAGGTCAAATGAGCAGGGTGGATCCCAACTCAAATCCCAATAGGACCAAAGAAGAAGAGACATCCTCCATAGTGTAAAACCGCTTTACTTATTTTAAAACTGGATACTGTGTACACTTACATCAGCAAGATGAAATAACAGCTAGTACCCATACCATGGGTGTAAGCGTGTGGCTGAAGGGTGTTCCAAGATGGCGCCGCGCCGGAAGTGCGTCACCACGTATTGCCGTCGACGCGCTGCGTCACGTGACCTCGTGACTTCCTCAGGACTCAGGACACCACGGCAATACGTGGTGACGCACTTCCGGCGTGGCGCCATCTTGGAACACCCTTCAGCCACACGCTTACACCCATGGTATGGGTACTAGCTGTTATTTCATCTTGCTGATGTAAGTGTACACAGTATCCAGTTTTAAAAGAAGTAAAGCGGTTTTACACTATGGAGGATGTCTTCTTCTTCTTTGGTCCTATTGGGATTTGAGTTGGGATCCACCCTGCTCATTTGACCTTTGAGGATATTACAGGAGAGGTGGAATCAGTATATTGGAAATATATCGTGAAGCCATTCACCCAAGAGGAAGGTTATCCTGATCCAGTGGTGATTTTTCAAGCTCTGTGGCCCTGCAGGGTCGCAGATAGGAGGTGAGAGGCCATTTCAGCCGGTCTTGGATTGCACTTCGGGGTGTGCGGGTCCACACACAGTCCATTGATTTTGCATGAGTGGAGGGAATGTGATACGGATCACTGGACTTTTTTCTGATATGTGCACTGTGTGCAGGGGTCTCGCATGTGTTTTATTTTTTACTCATCTAGTTCCATCACGCACTATTTCGCCCTTTTACATGTTAATGATTGTGTCACTATGTTACATTGATTATGGGCTTAATGTGACTTTTTCATATAATCTTCTTGTTTTAGCGCTACATCACTTTTTGCCTTTTATACTTTGTCAAATTAAAATTGCCACTTTTCTGGGCTGATGGGCAAGGGGGTGTAGAAAATTGCATGGGAGGGGTTGTCACTACCCCCCAGGTGGCAGTCACCAGTTCTTAAGATTATAAAAGTATGCTCTCTGTCCACTGGTACACTACACATGCTCCATTTTTACAAGTACAGGAAGAGGCCAAGATCCTCTCAATGTTTGGTATACCTCATTTCTCTGAGCCGTTTCACCTCCTGGATGCATTTCCCAACAGTAAAGTCAACCTCTTCCTCTGTTGTGAATCGTCCAATACCAAACCTAAAAGATAATAGATAAACATAAAGCCTACCTTCTAATCAAACAGGAATGTAAAGTACAAAATACTAAAAAGAGGATGAAAAAAAATGCCAGCAGAGACCTCCAGGACCTTGCCATTACGGCATAATGGTGGGCAGTTCTAATCAGCTTAAGAACTTCCTGGTAGTGTCAAAGTTTGCCACTCCATCCCCTACACACTCCTATTGGTTCACCATTAAGGTGGGCTGCCTCACTGGCCTATAGAAAAGTGCAGAAAGAGGAGAGAGCTTTGACATTAACACAGGAAGTCCCCACCAGAAAGGCCTGCTGCAGATGTGTGGCACCTTGATACCTTTATTTGTTCGCGCTAGCGGAAGCTCTGTTTTTTTTGGACAAATACTACAAATTTGGTTTAACATTCTATTAGTCTAAAATATACATCTTCATAAACAGTAACTCTCAAAACCAACCTGATAGAGGAGTGAGCGAGGTCCTCATCTGCTCCTATAGCTCTCAAGACATAAGATGGCTCTAGTGATGCCGAAGTGCAAGCGCTAGAGGTGAGCACAAACAAAAAGGTTAAAGTGCAAGTCTGAAGGGTTCATATGCAAGCACCACAATTTCAGTAACATCTACCTAGTCCACAAATATCTGGTATGAGGAAGTCAGTTACTATTGTGCTTGATGTAGATTATTTTGTGTTGATCATAAAAGCTTTTTACCTTGTTGCAAGAATATTGCTGCATTTGGGTTCTGCACAAAGCCAATATACTGTACATACACCACCCATACAGTGGGTCATGGAGTGGCCTAGCCAGTCTCCAGGCCTTGATTCTAGAGAAAAATTTATGGAGGGACCAAAATCCCTCCTGAGATGTGTGCAAACCTGGTAACCAACTACAAGAAACGTCTTCTGTGCTTGCTAAAAAGGGTTTCTCCACCAAGTACTAAATCATGTTTTGCTTGGGGATCAAATACTTATTTTACTCACTGAACTGCAACTCAACTTATAACATTTGTATTATGTGTTTTTTCTGGATTTTGGGTTGATATCCTGTTTCTATAATTTAAAAAACATTTATGATAAAAATTATAGACCCTCCATTTCTTTGTAAATGGGCAAACTTACAAAATCTGCAGGGAATTATTTGTATTAGTAATATTATATTATAATTATATAACCACCACTCTACACACAAACGTGTATTTGTTCTTTATTCAGCTACAACACTGATGGCATCCATACACCTTCATATACTCAATATGGATGAGGATTCCAAATGTCTGAGAATGTATGTGCGCACAGGCAAGATTCAAAGCATGATACTAGGATAAGAGTGCTTTACTTTCTTGTAGCCCTGATAAAGAGGGAGTGGCTTGGCCCCCAAAAATGCATTAGTTGTTTTATATGATCTTATCAATAATTACTAAAGTGATTTGGACAAATCATGCTTTGTACTATCATACCTTCCAGAAGATAGTGCAACATCTTTCAATGCCATCAATAAACTCTCCCCCTCCACATAGGCAAATGAAAGGTTTATACAGCCTGAAAAAAGTAAGAAGATTAGACTTTTAAAAAGGTATACAGAGATTATCATAGTAATGCATTTAAAAGAACCTTTACTTTGTCAATGAAGGGAAAAAAAAAAAAAAAAAAGGACAGGTTCAGATTAATGGCAGTCCCTTCTTGTGCTTCTACTTACCTTCTTACTCTCTCCTGCTTTGTCCAGACTTGAAGAAAAGACCTGCGTAAGCACAGGACTGAGGTGGCGCAGGGTCTAAATGGTAACTCACCAATTAAAAAAAAAAAAAAAAACACAACAAAAAAACCAAATAGCGGGAGAGGTGGGGGTAGGAGGATCCCCACAACTAAATATTAAGTTACAAGGATCGTTCAAGTCAAACCAGGACTTTTAATTGTTACAGGTGGAAGAAGGGATGCTAACGTGGTGATATTACATGCAGTAGTAAGTGGCATGTGTGTCCTATTACTGATAGGCGGCGCACATGTCACAGACCAGTCCAGAGACCGTTAATCAAGATAGCAGACAACAATGTTAGTGTGTGCATGGAAAAGCATGCGGTGATGACGTTTCTTGTGAACGAAGGTGTAGAACCGCGGATAACTAAAGACTTTAAGCACAGTACGGTGATGAGATGCTCAGCTGCAGTAAGACATTTGAATGGTGTAAAGGTTTCAAAGATGGCCGTATGCCCATCAGTGATGATCCTGGCCGTGGTGGTTCCCAGCTCACAGCAGCCATTCTTGTGAACATTCAGCGTGTGGAATGCCTGATGGTTCAGATATACTGACAAATCTTTCTATGCCGAATATTTCCAGGCATTATTTAAATGCTGGGATAAGTGTATAAATGTAGCAGGGGAGTATGTCCACAAAAAAAATGCAGTTTCCACTGCTGGAAATTTGTTCTTTTATCCTATAAACTCAAAAGTCCCAATTAGACTTGAACACCCCTCCTATTTCTCATCCTTGTGAGTGCCTGTATGGTGCAGCAGGAAAATGAAGGCCACCATTAAAGTGTTGTCCTACAAAAGCCGAATGCATAGCTTTGCTTTCAGCTTACCACCAGCTAAACACATCACATATGCAAACAAAAAAAGACAACCCCTAATTTTTTTTCTTCTTTTTTATGAAGTATTCTTTTACTATTTGTATTTAACATTTTAACAAAATTGTGTACAGAAATAATTATATATATATATATATATATATATATATATATAAAAAAAAAAAAGTATAGTGAGATTATGCCAGGCAGGAACTAAAACGTAAGGGCCTGGTAGCCCTCTTTTATTAGACAGTATCTGAAAAGTCCTTTTGACACAAGGTTTCCCACACAGAGTTTCAACTTCACTCAAAATAATACACACAATGAAAATGTAAAGCCACCTGGCTCTCTGGTTAGCAGTACCTCGAATTGGCTTGGTCTCCCAGTACCATATAAAGTTCCTTCCTCCCCTCTACACTTGGCACACACCCAAACTTTTTTTCTATTTAAGATCGAATCCAGACTCAATGTTCCCAGCACAGCTCTCAGAGGACAGTTGGAGCAAGGAAAAAAGCTGTGCATCTGTAAAACTTGCTTGATCTGTCTGACCAGAATCTAAGAAGCTAAAGAGTTTTGTTTAGAGGCGATGAGAAGCAATGATTAAAGTAGAACTAGAGACAATTTTTTTTTTTCATTTGAATAGAGCAAGGAAGTTATAACGGCTGTTTTGTACAGCCCATGGTACACAGATTTAATACCTGGGTAACGCTGCTCAGGGTCTCCATTCAACACAACCTCAGGAATATTATGCATTATATTCTTAATCAAGCGATCTGCCAGGTAGCCGATTCTTTTGTGGTCGTACTGAAAGTGAAGAGAAATACAAAAAAACATTACAAATATACCAAGCATCAAAAACACTAAAGAGAGACACCAAATAAATCTCTTATTCTGACTGTCTATGGTTATCGTACAATTTTATGTAATAAATTTTATACTAATCCTAGTTGGTACAAAAATACCCTCATTTATGGCATATTTTAAATAAGAGCTGCTGAAACTTTTTATAATGCAATACACTGGCTCAGGGAGAGATTTAAGAATAGATGTTCAACCACAGGAAAAAAAAAAATTAAAGTCAATATGGAATTAACTTTTTTGTTACCAGAAGTCAATAAAGACTAGGTAGGTTAAATTTAGCGATGTCAGCTTGCATCAGTTTGCTTGACAATAAGCCCTGGTTCACACTGAATCCTACTATGAAAGTTCAAAACCGCATACCAGTGTGATTTCAGGTGCGACATGGATGACATCTGTGAAACTTCATGCACACAGATGTCTACGCAAGTCACACCTGAAATTGCAAATCAGTGCAGCAAAGTAGGAATCACACTGATTTGAACAGTTCCATTGCTGACAATAGGGTACGACTTGTCGTGATTTGAAATTGTCAAACTACATGACAAGTCGCAACGGTGTGAACCAGGTCTAAACTGTGAGTTATAACAACATTATGACTAATTTTCATAACATGGTTCTATGTTTTTTAGGAACATGAGGTTTTAGTGGATATGTTTTAATAAAAACTCTGCTGTTTGTTGATTCTTTGATATACAGTATATGCATAGATTTTTAATTTATTATTTTTGTAATACTGGACAATTACAGTATAAAACAAATAGGTGGCAGTGTTCATCTGTAGCTGTTATTTTTCACTGAATCCTTCAGCCTGCATTTGATAAAAATCACACCTCTGGAAACTCTTCTAATTGGTTCCTGATTGTCTATGGGGGCCCCAATGGCCAGTGCCAGCCAGCAGCCATGCAAAGCGTCAGCTACTGGTCTCAATACAAGGATATTTATGAAGATATTCCCAGCAGGGGACATCGGCATCGTGCTGGGGGATGTTTATTTACAGATTGAAGGTAGGAAGAGGATAAATTATTATTATATACAGGATTTATATACCTCCAACAGTTTGCTCAGCACTTTACAATATAACGTGAGACAATACAGCAACAATACAAGAGGGATTTGAGGGCCCTGCTCCTTGGAGCTTACAATCTAGGAGGGAGGGGCTAGTGGTACAAAAGGTAACAACTGTGGGAGAAGGACTGGTTGGAAGAGAAGATTCCAGTATTAGCTGAGGGCAGGATAGGCATCCCTGAAGAGATAGGTTTTCAGAGATCGCCTAAAAGTGAGCAGAGTAGGCGATAGTCTGAAATTGGGGTAGAGAGTTCCAGAGGATGGGGGAAGCTCTGGAGTAGTCCTGGAGACTAGCATGGGGAGACAAGGGAGCTAAAGAGTAGGAGGTCTTGCGAGGAGCGTAGAGTACGTTGGGTGACAAGATTGGTGATGTAATTTGGGGCAAAGTTATAAATGGCTTTATACGTTATTATTGGTGTCAAAATCCAGCAGCCAAGAAGCAGCAGACCCAACACCCAGCTTCCAAGTGTCCTTTCACATCCGTAACTCTCCCCAGCTTCCCATAATGCTCTAGTCCCCAGTATAAAAGAACTGTTTGTATTTGGCACAAGGAATCCTCATCTACAATGTTTACTGAAGTCATCAGAACAGACGGGGCAGCATACAGATATAAGCAGGCCTTCTGACCTTAGTGCATAGTGAAGGTACCCCTGCTATAAAATCCCAGAATACATCTAAATTAATAAAAATCTGACAGGTTTGCCTTAAATAGGAGTTAGAGACACTACAACCAGCACCAGAGATCTGCAATCCTATTTTATCATATAAAGCACACCATTTACCTGTAACTCCTGCTGAGATATCTCACAGGCTGCCCCAAGTCCCACAGTAAGCGGAGTTGGAACTGTACCAGATCTCAGGCCCCTCTCCTGACCTCCACCGCTCATCAAGGCCTCCACTCGTACTCTAGGTCGCCGGCGAACATAAATTGCTCCTACGCCTTAAAAAGAAAAAAAGAAGAGGCAATTAGCAGATGTTAAGCACCCAAGACCAGAAGCATGTTTTATCTTCATACTCAAAGCAATTATTTTGTCTTGCATTTTATTTTCACTCCATATAAAAGCCAAAAGAATTTACATTTTAAAAAAAGCAACCTTAGACCTAATTTACAGTGACTTTTCTACATGTTTGACATGATTAATACTTAGAATCTGTAGCTGCCTAAAGGAAGTTTCATTTGCTTAGTTTTTGCCCTCCCTGGTTCCTGTTCCAACTTTCCACTTTCATTAACCACTTGCCTACAGGGCACTTTCACCCCCTTCCTGCCCAGGCCAATTTTCAGCTTTCAGCGCTGTTGCACTTTGAATGACAATTGCGCGGTCATGCAACAATGTGCCCATATGAAATTATTTTTTTTTAGACAGACAGAGCTTTCCTTTGGTGGTATTTAATCACCTCTGGGTTTATTTTTTGATAAACCAAAAAGCTGAACATTTTGAAGAAAAAAAAAAAAAAAGTTTTTAGTTTCTGTTGTAGAAAATTTGTAAATTAGTAATTTTTCTCCTTCACTGATGTGCGCTAATGAGGCTGCACTGATGAGGAGGTACTGGTAGGTGGCACTGATGGGCATTGACAGGCATCACTGATGGGCACTGAAAGGCAGTACTCATATACGGCACTGATAGGTGGCACTGATAGGCAGCACTGAGTGGCAGCTCAGATGGGCACCAATATGTGACATTGATGCGCACTGATGGGCAATGATAGGTGGCACTGATGGGGCTACACTGATCCTCAGGGCACTAATCATCAGTGTAGATGTCCCCTCTGAGGAATGCAGATTACCAGCTCTCCTCACGAGCTGTCAGCGTGACAGCTCGTGAGGAGAGAAATGTTGATAACTAGCATTTCCTTATTTACATGCGATCAGCTGTGATTGGACACAGCTGATCACATGACAGAGCCGAAGTCATCGGCTCTTTCCACTGATCCGCTGTGTCCCAGGGACACAGCGCACCACCGATCGCACGGTTAGAGTGGGAGGACGTCATATGACATCCTCCCAGAAAGAGAGGACCACCTTGCGCTCGTCATTTCCTTATATGGTGGGCAGGAGGCAGTTAAATACACTTTTTAGATTCAGTGATGTCATCACTATGTCTCTGTGCTTTTCTATGCATTTGCAGGCAGATTGCTAGTTGGACGGGCCAGCAGGGTGCTATATATACTTTCCTGAACACATCACAGCACCCTGCCACAGTGCTGCTCTCAAGAACCTTCAGCCTTGAAACCGCTAGATGATGCTGGATAGTCTCCACCCAGGAAATGAGCTGGGCACTTTCGGACTTTCTGAAGCTTCTAATGTACACTGTGAGAAGCTCACGATGTGCACTGAAATCAGAGTAAGGAATTTCAGCACAGGGGAGGAGCCTGTACAACTTCAAATGATTGAAGGAGAGCCTGGGGTTCAGCTTTAACTACAGCTTTAAAAAGTGAGGACTCCTGCTTTGTCATGTATTTAGCGGTTTGGCTGAAGTTTAGCTTTAAATAACACTTACAGGTCTTGCCCCTCCCACAGCCTGTGACTGGACAGTAAAAAAAAAAAAAAAGTAACAGATTGGTGCTCGTATCTCTGCCTTCGCCTCCTCTCAGCATGTTACTTGTGAGTACATGAGCACTGCACCACAACCAATTGGCTCCTTCTGCCACTTCTCTCTCTGCCCGTCTGAGCTGTACAGTAGTGATTTTGTGTATGTACACACACACATATACACACACACACATATACACACACACACACATATACACACACACAATTATTAATATAACTTATTTTAGAAAACTGAAAAAAAAAAAAAAGTGTACAAATAAATAAAAGATGACCTTTTGGGCCATAGATTTTATGACCACTCAAACTCATCAGATCAATCTTCATTTGGTTCACATTCAGTGGAATCTTGCCGACAGCCTGTGCCGCATCAGTGTGAAAGAAGACTTTTCTGGAACTGCAGATATGCCCTGGAGACAAAACAAAGAAAGGAAAGCGGAGAATAAAGTTGAAATATATTTTAGCCTTCCTTTCATGAACTATACGATGTTAATACCAGGATAATTCAAAGCTTGGCTACACCGTCATAGAAGGGTTTATTTTGGCATCTTTAATGCAGCCCATTAAAGGACCACTAAACCTTTACAAAAAATTTTGTAAAACCAATGTATGAAGCAGGAAGTGAGCAAAGTTGGGCCAAGGCCTCATTTATATGAGTGTACTTAAAGTGATATTAAAAGTGGTTGTACACCTCAGAAATATGAACAAAGCATATCTCCCTATAGTGTGTGCTTGTCCCAATCCAGAGCACTAAGAATCATTTCTGTCCGCTGCCTCGTTCCTCTGTTTTAATCATGACACCTCTGACAAGTTTTCCTGACACCAAGAGAAAAATGGTGACAGGGAGGGACTGCCAGCTGATTGACAGCCTCAGCTCTGTTCCTGTGTGCTGTGTGAAGGGAAGTATGTCCCTTCCCTCCAATTAGCTCTCAGAGCTCCCCTCACTGATGTAACTTCAGCGCCCCGCCCCCTGCTTTTCAGAGATGGGAGATCCTCTGTAAATTCTGCACAAGAATGTAAGGGAAAGATTGCTCTGGATAAACAGATACAACTTATGTAGGAGGATTTGTTTCATCTCTGTGTATCACCTGAGGCCAGTCACTGCACTGGGTATATGTAGGAGTTTACAACCACTTTAAGGAAATTTTTTTTTTTTTTTTTTTTAATTAAAAAAAAAAAAAAAAAAAGGTTTTAATTACCTGCTCTGTGCGACAGTATTGCACAGAGCAGTCCCATTGACTCCTCCTTCCACTGGGTGCCTTCATAGCAAGCTGTGTGCTATGGGAGCATCCCTGTGGGCTGTGTGCTTTTACAGACACTCACAGCATGGCTCAGCCATGGCCTCTGCTCACTCCTCACTGGATTTAACTGAAAGCAGAGGAAGCCTGTCTATGCCTCCTGTAGAATCAGATGGGACAACGCTGGAGCATGAGAGGAGACAGGTATGCAGACACAGCTAATGCTCCCAATTTGACATCCATGTGGGAGCACCATACCCATACTGTCTGCGTTCGGGGACCTGCACCCACATGGGTGTCAAATTTGGAGCAGCGGTTGTGTCGTGCAGTTGATATATCCCAACTGACGTAAAAGACGGCCTGCATGGGGATGCACAGACCTCCTGTGCATCCCTCTAGGGACAAACACAGCTCCGCACAGGCGTATGCTTAAGTACACCCATGTAAGGCTTACCTTGCTCAGGTTCAGTCTAAGAAGTGTAGTTGAAGTAGAATTCCCTTTTGAATGACTGAAACAGCCAAGAGACTAGAGAGTGATGTCTCTGATTTCACATTACTTTTAGTCCTGGCTGTAATGGTCACTGGACAAACAGAGAGGCTAAATCTACCCAGCAGGGACAAAAGACGGCAACTAAAGTTTGACGGGTTTCTAACCCATCTCACCTTTATCCAAATCAAGCACAAAAAAAAAAAAAAAAAGGGATATATTATATATATACATACATACATACATATACACACACACACACACACAGTAAGATGTTTTATGGCTATATATTTATAAGGTACCCGCTGACACTGGATGACTATTGCCCAGTCCTCTATTCTCTTCCACAAATTTTAACCCCTTTGCACCAGCGCCTCCCAGCCCTTTAAGAGTTTCAGAAGCCGGGACGTGGGCGGTGTTTGAGGGTCATGTGACCACCGTGATTTGCCATCACATGATCGGAAAAGGACCGGATCGCAAGGGGAGATCGAGACCTTTTCGTAAGTCACGGACATATGTGCTGGGAGCGCGCGCTCTCAGCACATATGTATTTTCTAATGGCACGCAAATATGCGGCCACTCGGCGTCAAGGCCCAGACACCGAGAGGCCGCATATTTGCTTGCGCTCGGTCTAGGGGTTAAGCAGGCCTTACACTGGCTTAAAAAAAAAAAAAACCTAACAACATTCTCCAGCCACACAAACGAGGTGATAGGAGGAATCCTCCCCCTGATAGTCGCAGCCATTGCCATCAGAATAAACTGGTCAGCAGCTGCAGTGGACTGAAAAAGTAAAATGCCAATTTGTCCCTTCAACAATACAGCAAGAGCAGTGGCTTTCTTCTGCACATTAGGGAAACCCTATACTCATACTGAGGCTTCCTTTTTTTCATGGTTTGTTAGAGCTAAAATCTAAGCATATATAAAAGGCACAATTTACCACAGCTCTGTAATCATGAACACATGATAAACCACGAGCTCTAGAAGATTTTACCCCCTTCATGACCAGGGAATGTTTTGCTATTCAGCACTGTGCTGCTTTAACTGGCAAATGCTTGGTCATACGATACTGAATGCAAATGAAATTTTCATCATGCTTTTCACACAAACAAAGCTTACTTTTGGTGGTATTTGATCACCAATGAGTTTTTTATTTTTGTGATATAAACAAATAAAAGACCAAATATGACAAAAAAAAAAAAAAAATGATTATATTTTATTTATTTTTTTCTACATTCTGTTACACAAAATACCTAACAAAATCAAATTTCATCATAAATTTAGGCCAAAATGTATTCTGCTACATATCTTCAGTAATAAAAATCCCAATAAGTGTATATTAATTGGTTTGTGTGAAAGTTATAGCAGCTACAAAATTATGATATATATATATATATATATATATATATATTTATATTCAATTTTTTTTTTTTTTTTTTTTTTTTTAAATGGTCAGTTTTGATGTACTTGAGACCCTAAAATGCCAGGACGGTACAAATACCACCAAAATTAACACTTTTTGGAAAGTGGACAGTCTGAGGCATTTAGTAAGAGGCCTGGCAAGTTTTTTTGAAAATGAAGAAAACTAAATAAAATTAGTTTTTTTCCTTCACAATTTTTTTACATACTGTCACCAGCACAGTAGTACAGCGTCAAATGACTGATGTGGCAGTGTTCAGGGACATACTGGTGACAGTATGTTTAAAAAATACATAAATTAAAAAATTACATTTTTCAAAACTTTTCATTTTAAAAATGTTTTTTTTTTTTTTTTTACACATCACTGTACTACAGAGAGGGGGGGGGGTGTGATCGGGGATTTTATTTTTTCTTTCATACTTTGCTGTTACAATGAAGATCATTGTAACAGCAAAGTATCCCAGCCATGGCACCACCTGCCTGGAGTTTGCATGTTCTCCCTGTGCCTGCATGGGTTTCCTCTGGGTACTCCGGCTGCCTCCCACACTACAAAGACATGCTGGTAGGTTAATTGGCTCCTGTCTAAATTGTCCCTAGTAAGTGTATGTATGAATGTAAACAAAATATATAAAACTTTACTTTTTTTACCTAAATAATAAATATATCCCCCAATCCCACCTTCTGAAAAAGTCATAGGAAGTGACGAAACGCGTCAAGACACGTGACGTCAGACGTATCGACGCTGACCGGAAGTGCGATCGCGGCCATCTTGGAAGTGGGAACATGCGGCTAATGTTTCCCTAAACTTGTTTGTATCTGTATCCCTGTGAGGAGGAGCTGCTTCACCCTTATTTTAATGTAAGTTGTCAAATAAAGGAAGACTGTGTTTTATCTACTATCGGTAACTGTGAATTTTCTCATGAGGGAAATGGAGAAATAATATTGGAGGAAGCCTGAAATCTGAATGATCTGAATGAGGAGATAGTAACCCAGAGTGGTGTGATGCCCTATCTCTTCCTGCATAGGGTAATTATCCATCAGCACGAGGTGGAGATTGCTGGTTTGGGTCTAAGGTGTAAACTTATGTATACTGAGTGTGGTGACACATATCGTTTGGAGTGATATTTTTAGTTTTTCACTTGTGTTTGCAGCTGACACTTTATGTGAGTGTCTTTTATTGATATATTTCTGCTTGTATAGAGATACTCACTTATAGAGTATACATGTATATATAGATTTTGCATGTTGCACAGAGAGTGGCACGTGTTTTTTTATTATTTAAATGGTATGACACTATGTTAAGTTTTTTTTTCTTTGAGGTTTACTGCCATCAGGATTTACAAGTTTGAAGAAGAAAGAATTTAATGGCTTACATGTGTGGAGATTTATTTTGATAATTGAGACATTTGGGACACTATTTTGATATTTTGGACACTTTTTTATAAGGTGGGATTGGGGGATATATTTATTATTTAGGTAAAAAAAAAGTAAAGTTTTATATATTTTGTTTGCTTGGCCTTCAAGGGTGGAGGTGGATAACTTTTCTGGGATATTATATTGGGATTGTGCTGCTGTGTATATTTATATATGTATGAATGTAAGTTAGGTACCTTCGATTGTACGCCCCTTGAGGGTTAGGGACTGATGTGAATGTACAATATATATGTAAAGCGCTGTGTAAATTGACGGCATTATATAAGAACATGTAATGAATAAATACGTTTTCAACTATCATAAGGGGGGGGTTGCACCCTCCTAAACCCATACAGGCAAAGTTACCATACACGTACATGATTTTGCCTGCAGGTGCCGCCCAGCCACATGTACTGCAGCAGGTCGGCAAGTGGTTAATATTTTTTTATTTTCCTATTTAAAGCAGTGCAAGTACCAGACTTTGGCCTTGTATCTGCCTTTGCAGTCACTGTACAGCACAGCTTAATAATGAAGAGAGAGAAGCTGCACAAGGAGCAAAGGAGTTGTACTGCAATGCAAGGAGAATGACAATATAAGTTGAAGGCAAGCTTAAAATGAGAGAAGCCCATTAGTGGGCAGTTTCTCCTTATACTGTCCAGTCAAAAGCTGGTGTGAAGCGAAGGCCTGTTAGTGAAAGTGAAACTGCAACAGAGAAAGATCAGGACCCCTCCGACTGTCGGCAGATCTGTGCTATATGGAAGAGCTGTGTAAGCCTCAGAACAGGATGGACTGAAATACAAATCTTTTAACAGGTAACACAGCCCCAATTTATGTATTCCATCAGTGGATTTAGCAATCTACCTGGAGTTCAGCTTTAAGAAAAGTTCAAGAAAAAAAATGGATACTAACCTATGTCTGCTATAGGCTGTTTCACTCCTATCTCATTGTTCACAGCCATAACAGATACTAGACTAGTGTCCGGTCGGATGGCCTCTTCTAGAACCTAAAAGCAAAAATAACCATGATTATAACAGAAAGGAAAACCAAGAAAAATATTTGCTACATGAACACACATAATGAGAGATACAGATGTGACTGTCACCTTTAAGTCCACTAGGCCGTTCCTTTGAACAGGAAGGTAAGTGACCTGAAATCCTTCTGCTTCTAATGAGCGACATGAATCCAGGACACACTTATGCTCGGTCTGAGTGGTGATGATGATGTGTTTCTTGCGGGACTTGTAGAATCTGGCTACTCCCTTGATACAAATAAAACAAGAGGATCGATATCAGAAACAAAAGAGGTTCATTCAAAATAAACACCGTCATTGTTAACGAAACCTGTCAATGAGGAGGGAGTTGCAGTAGTCAAGGCAAGAGAGTTTCCTTCCCTTTGCTTCAAAAATTATACCACATGCTGCATTTGTCTTGCATGTTTTGCAGTATTTTGAAGCCTTCATAAAAGTCTATTACCTGGTTTTGCTGTCTGAAGCATGGATACGTATTGGGATCACTTTTCTGACTGCAATAGCCAGGTGGTAAGGGGGTGTATTGCCTCCTCACTGCCTGTTTTAACCCCTTTTTTGCACAGCCCCATTCACTTGAATGGACAACAGGGAGCATAATTCCTGCCATGGCATGTGTACACCCCTGGCCACTTGGCCACTTAACCACTTCCTGACCGTCCTATAGCAAAAGTACTGCTACAGGGCGGCAGGACTGCGCAAAATCACACATATATATACACACACACACGTGATTTTGTATTTCCGTGTAGGGGGTGCCATTGGCAGCTACAGCTGTCGATCACCGGAACCCAGCCGAGGAACACTGACAGAGGAGAGGTCTGTAAGTAAACAATACAGATCTCTCCCCGTCAGCACCAGCATGCGGCTTTGTATTGTATAGCATAGCAGAGCAATACGGCGCAAAAAATAAAAAAACAGAGGCGATCACATACCCCCAAAAGAAAGCCCCATTTGTGGGGGAAAAAAAAGGACGACAAATTTCATTTGGGTGCAGCGTTGCATGACCGCGCAATTGTCAGTTAAAGTAATGCAGCGCCGTATTACAAAAAATGGCCTGGTCAGGAAGGGGGGGGGGGGGGGGGGGGGGGGGGTAACTTCTCTGGGGGACAAGTGGTGCTGGAAGCAGAGGAGGCTGTATTCAATTAGGAATGGTTTCAGAGATAACTGCCAATTAAACTGCCCATGTTACTAAAAGTGGATTTAAAGTCTTAACGTTTTTTACTTTTAAGTGGTTCTAAAAGGCTCAACATTTTTTACCTTCATGCATTCTATGCATGAAGGTAAAAAAAAAAAAAAAAAAAAACCTTGTGTTGCCCTCCTTCCCCCAATACATACCTGAGCCCCATCATGATCCAAAGATATGCACAAGAGTCTCGGCTCTCCGGGAACTCTCCCTCCTCTTTGGCTGAGACAACAGAAGGAGCCATTGGCTCCCATTGTTGTCAATTGCAGCCAGTGAGCCAATGAGGAGAGAACAGGGGGGGGGGGGGGGGTCAAGCCACTGCTCTCTATGTGAATGGACATGCAGAGCAGTGGCTCGGGAGCCCCCAGAACAGGCCACTTTCAAATGGGGGCACTTGGCAGGGGGGAGGAGCCACCAGAGCCGGTGGGGGAACCAGAGAAGAGGAGGGCTGGGACTGCTCTGTGCAAAACCACTGCACAGAACAGGCAAGTATGACAAAAACAAAAATTGCCTTTAATATCACTATAATGCATTTCCTACAAGCAGGAAAGAAAAAAAAAATGCTTGAATACTACTTTCCTGTCCCTAAACACTTACCCGAGTCATTATCAATCTAGAGCTGTGCCCAGCTGCAGCTATTCTCTTCTCACTTCCTGCTCTTACAGGAGACTCAGAGCAGAAAAAAAGTTTTGGGCTCCTGCTGTTGTCGGGGGCTGTGGACGAGCCGTGCTGTGTGTGTCTATAGGCACACATAGCCTGGCTTGGGAGTGCACCCGCATGGGTGCCCCCATGGTGCACGGTTTGCTATGGAGGCACTTGTAAGAAGGGGTGGACAGCCCAAGCAGGGGACTCCAAAAAGGAAATGAAGGATCGCTCTGTGTGGCAAGAACAACATCTTTTTTATTTTAATAAAAAAAAAAAAAGAAGCTCTAAAATCTAGAATACCCTCAAAATGTGGGCATTTTGAAACCCTAATCAGATTTTCATTGCGGTTAGTGTCTCTTTTGGAGAGTTACACCCTCTCGCAGTATTTTTCTACAGAAATAATTAAACAAGTTACCAACACAGCATAATATAGTCAGTCAGTCATATATATGGTTTTGCACCATCAAAAGTGTTTCTGGATACTGGCTGGGGTGCGGTGTTTGCGCCCAATACGCTCCAGGATATCTATATCCTAAAGCAGGGATGTCAAACTGGCGGCCCTCCAGCTGTTGCAAAACTACAAGTCCCATCATGCCTCTGCCTTTGGGAGTCATGTTTGTAACTGTCAATCTTGCAATGCCTCATGGGACTTGTAGTTTGGCAACAGCTGGTGGGCCGCCAGTTTGACACCTATGTCCTCAAATAATCATTATGCTAAAGCATATTGAAGAAAATGGATTGCTTCTGGTTTTGTATGAAAAAGGTCCTTAGGGGGATTTCCTTATCCCAGGTCATCATTCTAACATCATAATTATTTTACACACACGTTGATTATATTTATTCAGGAATGTTCCAGTGCAGTCCAGACTCATATGTTGTTTTATATAAAGAACATGCTGTTTTTTTTATAGAAGGGTAGTGTAGAGATTATCAGTAATAGCCAGTCACCCTGACTAGGTAAGGCAGATGTTTTACCATCTCAATTTGTTCTCATGACAACTGTCTAAAAGAGGAATTCTTCTGACTCTGGAAAAATCTCACATTGTGTTCCCATAAGAAGAAGCCTAAGGGCACAAAAAATGACTTTAATAAAAGAACTATTAATGAAACTTACAATTTACCTTTACAGCAATATTGTTTGCTTCGGTGGCCCCGCTTGTGAAAACAATCTCCCTTGGATCTGCTCCAATCAGGTTTGCCACTTGCTGCATTGGGAAATAAACTATTTTCAGATAAATACATCAATCTGACATTACAGCAAAATGTTTAAACTTCAAACAATTCAACTGAAGCTGAAAAAGAAAGGCAAGGTCACATCACTGTTTACTTTGTCCTTGGATAAGTCATCTTATCTCGGTGTCCCAGGAACCCAAAATAGATTGCCAACTCTATATGCAGTGCTGGCAGTCCAGTTGTGACACGTAAATCAATATGTTAAAATAAATATATAGAATGCTTATTATTTGCCTTATATATTCTCAATTTTAAATGCTCCTTTTTAGGCTTGACAGAGTTTTTTTTACCAAGTACTCTGGTGTTTTCCCCAAGAAGTTTTCGATCTCCTCCCAGTGGTGTTTTATTGATAAGCCTTTTATTTGTGCCTTACAGTGCCTCAAAAAAGTATTCATACCCCTTGAAATGTTGCACATTTTGTCATGTTACAACCAAAAACGTGAATGTATTTTATTGGGATTTTACGTGATAGATCAACACAAAGTGGCACATAATTGTGAAGTGGAAGGAAAAGGATAAATGGTTTTCAAAGTTTTTTACAAAAAAAAACCCCCCCCAAAAAAAAAAAACAAAACAAAAAACCCCCCACATTTTTCTTCATTTCTGTAATAAAGTTTTGCAATTAATTTTTCTTCTTCACTGACAGGCTGCACTGATGGGGAAGCACTTATGGGCACTGATGGGGCTGCACTGAAAGGGACTGATAGGCACAGATGGGGCTGCACTAATCAGGGCACTGATGATCAGTGCCCTGAGTATCTGTTTACATGCCCCTGTCAGACTTGCTGGTTACCAGCTCTTCTCTCCTCACGCTGTGACAACATGTGAGGAAAGCATTGCTGATATCCGGCAAGTATTTACAAACTGTGATCAGCTGTGACTGAACACAGCTGATCACAAGGTAAAGGGCAGCTGCGATTGGCCATTTACCACGATATGTGATCAGTTATGTCCACAAGACACAGTGATCAAAGAGCACGTCGGGAGTGCGCCACAGGGGTGCAGTTTCAGGAGGGCGTCTATGGAACCCCCTGGAACAGCAGAGCCATGCTGTAGACGTCTTTTAGCTATAGCGTGTTAAGAAAGTGGTTTTAAACCTCAGACATGAAAAATTAACAAAGCATTTCCCTCTATAGTGTGTACTTGTCTCAACTAAAAGCAGTCATTTCTGTCTGCTGCATCATTCCTCTATCAGCATGATAGACAAGTTTTCCTGACACCAGGAGAAAAATGGTGACAGGGGAGGGACCTCCAGCAGATTGACAGTCTCAGCTCTGTGTGCTATGTGAAAGGGGGTGTGTCCCTTCCCTCAAATCAGAGCTCTCTTTACTGAGCTCTGCAGAGTGAATATTCAGCTCTCCACCTCATTTTTCCTGAAATCTCAGACAAGCTTTATAATTTCTCCACTTTGAATAGATGTAGAGAAGAGAATACTACAGATAAACAGGTACAACTTATGTAGAAGTATTTGTTTCATCTCTGTGTATCACCTGAAGCCAGTCACTTCACTGGGTTTATAACCACTTGAAAGGATAATTGCATAAGGTAAATGCTCCATCGCCCTTTCTTCAACTTTAACAATGTGTAAGTTGCATAAAAAAATACTTTTTTTATGACAAGTCTTTCTTTCATGCTTTTTGATTTATATGTAATAAGGCTATGTACTAAGATTTGTAGACTTTTCCTGAATGGCTAGTACTCTTCCCTGATTAACAACTGACAAAATGTCAGCCACACAGAAATTGCTCCAGCTGGACATGAGTGGTAGACACTGAGAATGGAATACAAAATTCTTAGTTACTGCTCAAAAAATGGTTTAGGGATTACCCTGGTCCTACTTTTATTAAAGGCACAGCTACCCTTTAAAAAAAACCTAATTGGAGTTACCTCTCGTCCTTTCTCCATAGCCTTCTCACTCTCCCAGCCGTACGCATGGGTTCTTGAATGAGGGTTTCCATAGTAATTCACCAAGTAAGGCAACATACGGTCTAGTACCCTGGGATCCTAAAAATAAAAAGATTGCACATAGAAAAAAATTAAATAAATAAATTGAGATGTATTGTTCCAACTTCACCTAAAATGATTATAGATCCCAGGATAGCCAATTAAAACATCAATTAAAATAGAACTTCAGTCAAAACGGTTGTATTTGCTGTTTTGGGTACAGTGGGGAAAGGTTTGAACCTCTGTCAAGTATTTGCTGTCGTCTGTGTCACCACTAGGAAGATCTACTCTTAGGGCCAGTTCACACCATGCGCCAAGCTTAAATCGCACAAGAACGCACTTTGCGCTCCTCTGCAATTCATCTGCAGCTCTGGGCGGTATGACTTCAAGTGCATTCATTTGAATGGGCTGAAATCGTGCAGCACCAAAAGTAGTGCACTACTTTTTGGAACGCACGGCAACTGCATTACTTGTTACTTTCTACCATGCGATTTGATGCGGGCAAATGCAATGTGTTTGTGACCTGTGTTTGGGGCGTCAACTATTAACTGACCCCCATAGCAGATCGCAAGGGCATTGCTACCGGAATGCGGTGCGGGAAGCCACACGGGACTGCAGCTCTCCTGCACCGCATTCTAGTGTGAACGAGCCCTTACTATTTGTTCTACTACATTTAGATTGTAAGCTCCAAGGATCAGGCCTTCCTATCCCTCTTGTATTGAACTGTATTGTCTCCCGTTATATTGTACATCGCTGAGCAAACTGTTGACGCTATATAAATCCTGTATAATAATAATATATAAATCCTGTATAATAATACTACTACACAACCCATTTTGTAATGTAATATTATCCAAATTTGCAATTCTATTGCTAACTCTTCACTTGAAATCATGGCAACACGACGAACATTCTTTACTGTGGCGGCACAACTCCAGAAAAATCAAGTGATTGGCTTATTGCTGTATTTCAGCAGTTCTTTCATAATGGGGCTAAACACATCCTGATAAAAGGCAGACCTTTCTTTATAGCTCCCACTTTCTCCATCTTGAAGTTATTACCAAGGCCTGTCTCAGTATCTCCAGAAGAGAAGCATGTAAAGGCCTGCTTTAAAGTGGTTGTAAAGGCTCAAGGTTTTTCACCTTCATGTATTCTCAGCATGAAGGTAAAAAACCTTCAGTGTGCAGCAGCTCCTCCCCCAATACTTACTAGAGCCCCATCGAGATCCAGCGATGTGCGCGAGAGCCTCTGCTCTCCCAAGACTTTTCCTCCTTATTGGCTGAGACAGCAGTGGGAGCCATCGGCTCCCACTGCTGTCAATCACCGGCAGTGAGCCAATAAGGAGAGAGAGGGGGTGGGACCAAGCCACAGCCCAGTGTGTGAATGGATATGCAGAGCAGTGGCTCGGGAGTGAGCCTGCTTGGGTACCCCCATAACAAGCTGCTTACTCTGGGGGCACTCGGCAGAAGGGAGGGGCCCAAGAACGGTGGGGTGGAGGACCCGATAAGAGGAGGATTGGGGCTGCTCTGTGCAAAACCATTACAGGCAAGTATGACATTTAAAAAAAAAAAATATTGCCTTTAATATCACCTTAAATTTGCTAAAAATTAAATGATAAAAAATTTGAGATCAGAATCAGTTTTTTCTTTACAATACCACAAGGAAAAGAAAACAATGCATCGCCGTGCATGTTTTAGATTAAAGGCCACTCCTATCCTAAAATATTGGATTACTCCCAATGTATATCTGCACTTACAGTGGAATTGAATTCTAAAAATAAAAAACTGCTAGGAGGTAGAGATTTTTTGGCAGAAGAGACATGCAGAGTCTCTTTGGCCAAAAAAAAAAAAAAAAAAAGTTCTTTTTTCTCCCCTATTAATGTGTCGTGTATACTGTAGTGCATGTGCCATGCAATGTGCACTCTCTGCATCGGTAAGACACCAGGAATGGGCCAGGTGCTGGACACAATGTAAACCCTGTGGTGGACAGGATCCTGGACCCATCATCACTGGAGGACAGCACGCCATAATCTGCAATGTACAGTTGTGTCCAAAATTATTCAACCCCCAATGCTGTAAAGGGGTTTTAGGGACTATAGTGTACATTTGGAATTGTATTCAGAATCAAATCCTACAAGGACGTTGTAACTACCCAAATGCAACTAAAAATGACATCAATTGTTTATGTAATACAGTAGTAAATGGTTCTTATGTGGTTTCTTCATTGCCACAATTATTCAACCCCTTAAAGACTACCACTCTGAAGAACAGAGGTTCATACAGGTGCTTTCCATCAGGTATTGAAAACACCTGTGGATGTCACCGAGCAGCAATCAAGCATAATAAGCACCAATTAGGCAGCTTTAAAATGACTGTGATACTCAGCTCCTTCTAGACATTTACTGGTGTGGTTACAAACATGGTGAAGGCAAGAGAATGGTCCAGGAAGACAAGAGAAGAGGTGATTTCTCTTCACAGGAAGGGCAATGGCTATAAGAAGATTGCAAAGATGTTAAACATACCAAGAGACACCTTAGGAAGCATCATTCGCAAATTCAAGGCAAAGGGCACTGTTGAAACGCTACCTGGTCGTGGCAGAAAGAAGATGCTGACTTCGACTGCTGTGCGCTACCTGAAGCGTAGAGTGGAGAGAAGTCCCCGTGTGACTGCTGAGGAACTGAGAAAAGATTTGTCAGATGTGGGTACAGAAGTTTCAGCCCAGACAATAAGACGCACACTGCGTAATGAAGGCCTCCGTGCCAGAACTCCCAGGCGTACCCCCTTGCTGTCTCCAAAGAATAAGAAGAGTCGACTGCAGTATGCCAAAAGCCATGTGGACAAACCACAAAAGTTGTGGGATAGTGTTCTGTGGACTGATGAAACAAAATTAGAACTGTTTGGGCCCATGGATCAACGCTATGTTTGGAGGAGGAAGAACAAGGCCTATGATGAAAAGAACACCTTGCCTACTGTGAAGCATGGTGGAGGGTCAATCATGCTTTGGGGCTGTTTTGCTTCTGCAGGTACAGGGAAGCTTCAGCGTGTGCAAGGTACCATGAATTCTCTTCAGTACCAGGAGATATTGGATGGAAACGTGATGCAGTCCGTCACACACCTGAGGCTTGGGAGACGTTGGACCTTTCAACAGGACAATGATCCCAAGCATACCTCCAAGTCCACTAGAGCATGGTTGCAGAGGAAAGGCTGGAACATTTTGGAGTGGCCATCGCAGTCACCAGACTTAAATCCGATTGAGAACCTCTGGTGGGACTTAAAGAAAAGCAGTTGCAGTGCGCAAGCCTAAGAATGTGACTGAACTGGAGGCCTTTGCCCATGAAGAATGGGCGAAGATACCCGTAGATCGCTGCAAGACACTTGTGTCAAGCTATGCTTCACGTTTAAAAGCTGTTATAACTGTAAAAGGATGCTGTACTAAGTACTAAGATTGAATGTCACTTGGGGGTTGAATAAAACTGATAATGCTGTGAGCACAGAAAAGACATTTGTGGTTATTTCATTATAACTGTTATGTTATATTTGTCTGACCTACAAGTGCCTCTTTAATGTAAATGTAAGCAAGATGACTGAATGATCAAAAGCAATGTCAAACTGGCCAAAACACTCAATTTCAGTGGGGGTTGAATAATTTTGGACACAACTGTATGTTACATGTTATACTTACCTGCTCTGAGCAAGGGTTTTGAACAGCACAGCCTCGATCCTCCTCTTCACGGGTCCCCCACCAGCACTTCAGGCCCCTCCCCCTTGCTGAGTGCCCCCAGAGCAAACTGCCTGCTCTGGAGGCATTTGTGTGTGCTGTCTATGAGACACACAGAGCGTGGTTCAGCCCTGCCCCCTCCTCACTGTGTGACTGACAGCAGTGGGAGCCAATGGCTCCTGCGTCAGCCAATGAGGAGAGAGAGACCTGGGAGAGCCTAGGCTCTCATGCACATAGCAGAATCAGGATGGGGTCCAGGTATAAGTATTAGGGGAGCTGCTGCATAGAATGCATGAAGGTAAAAAACTTTTAACCTTTACAACCACTTTAACCAAAACTTAGATTCCTTATATTGTTCTATTACACTGATGGAATTTGAAGGTTTCATTTTGTTTGGATTACAGTTCACTGATTATACCAGCTGATACAGTTTCTCACAGCTATGCTACACTATATGTAAACCTGAAATATGACCTTGTTTCTACTGCCTTTTTGTCTGCTAAATAAACCATTGCAAGTGTGTTTTGTCATATCTGTTTGATAAGTGCAAAAAAACAACGGTAATGGCATTTCTACGAACCTTCCAGGACGGCACACCTGAGAGATGAGAGGCTCCTCTCTACAGGAAACAAATTACAGCTGTTATAAGTCCCCTGCCTTCCCCTTACCCTCCAGTTTGTAATAAAGTAACTACCAAAACCGGTCCACAAGGGGAATAATTCTACATAGGCACTCACCAATTACTAACTTGGGGTTTTTTTTCAATAGGGAGGGAAGCCTGCCGTCCCTGGAAGGTTCATAGAAATGCTGTTACGGGTAAGTCCAACGGTTGGTTTTCTCCTATCACCTTCCAGGACAGCACATCTGAGAGGATAATCAAGTAACCACAGGCCTACCTTAGGGTGGGACCACACCTTCCGGCCAAAAGCTAAGTCTTGCTGCGACAGCACTTTGATCCAGTAATTCAAGAAAGTGTCTTGACTGAACCAGGTGTCTGCACTGCAAACCTGTTCCCAGGAGGCCCCCCACTTTTTCTGCCCAGGATGTGGCCATAGCACTAGTTGAATGAGCTTTTCCCTTTGTTGGTGCAGGAAACCCTGAACTCTCATAAGCTAAGGCGATAGTTTGTCTGATCCACCTGGAGACCAAAGCCTTAGAGACTTGAAGTCCCTTCCTTGGTCCATCATAAAAAATTAGCAGATGGGCAGACCTCCAAAAATCTTTGGCCCTATGCAGATAAGTGAGGAGACACCTCCGCACATCAAGACAGTGGAATTTCGCTTCTTTTGCATTCCAGGCATTATCACAGAAGAAAGGCAAAGTTATTTCCTGTGTCCTATTAGATAAGGAAGCTATCTTGGGCAGGTACATCGGATCTGGCCTAAGGGTGACCCTATCTGGCAGGATCAACAAAAAGGGTTGGTCGACAAATTTTGTAGGTCTGCAACTCTTCTAGCCACGGTGATAGCCAACAATAAAAGATCATTTTAATGTCAAAAATGTAAAGGGAACCTCCTCTATTGGTTCAAAAGGATGTTTTGATAAGGCTTCAAGCACTCTGGTCAGATCCCACGGCGGAAACCTCTCTTTTGTGGCTGGGGTAATTCTTTCCCTGGCCACCCAAAAACCATTTGACTAAAAGTTCTCTAGCCAATATAGTGTCAAGAAAAACTGAAAGTGCAGCAATTTGTCCTCAAAGGGTGCTAACTGCCACCCCTCTCTCAACACCATCCTGAAGAAACATAGGAACAGAGGTAGAGGATACCGGTTTGCGTTTGCACCATGAACAAAAGATTTTCCATACTTTGAGATCATTTTCCTGGTTACAGGCTTTCTGCTGAGGAGGAGAGTGTCTATAACTCTGTCCAAACAACCCTTACTCTTTAGGATCTGGCACTCATTAGCCAGGCCGTCAATTGGAAGAACTCCGGCTTGGGATGAAGCACTGGACCCTGAAGAATTAATATCTGGAAGGATCGGAGGCCTCCAAGGCGGTGCCACCGACAGGGTTTATAGGATCGCGAACCATACCCTCCTTGAAACTGAAACGTTGGACCAAGGCTTGAAAGACCTTCAATTTCAACTTCCAGACTTCCAGCCAAACTCCAGCTCACACATTATAAGTTACGGCAAACAGGTTTTTTTTCTTCCTTTTGCAATAAAGGGTTAACATGAATAAATAAAGCTGATCATTTTAATCACCCCTGTGAGTGTTAAATGGTTGGTCTCATCCATGTAACTGATACAGTTGCAAGAAAAAGTATGTGAACCCCTTGGGATTACGTGGAGTTTTGCATGAATTGGGCATAAAATGTGCTCTGAACGTCATCTAAGTCACAATAGAAGAACACAGTCTGCTGAACATAATACTACACAAACAGTACTTTTTCCTCCCTGCACTGTGAATGTTTACATGTTATGTACAATTAAACCATGGCAACATCTAATGTTTGTGTAGTATTATGTTCAGCAGACTGTGTTCTACTATTGTTGGGACTTAGATGACGTTCAGAGCACATTTTATGCCCAATTCATGCAAAACTCCACGTAATCCCAAGGGGTTCACATACTTTTTCTTGCAACTGTACATTCTGTTGGCAAGCTTGAGCTTCTGAAAAATAACAGACTTGCTAACTGGATCACCAGAAGAAAACAGAAGGAGGAAAGCCTTAAAAAAGGAAACAAATGCAGCCATCACATCTAAAAATCGGTAAGCTGCAATATAATGAATGTGTGCGTTTGGGGTTTAATATCTCTTTAAGATCTGAGTAAGGCAGACCACATACATACCAGTGTGAACAATTACAACTGGTTCAATGTTTGCATCAAATCTGTTACAAACTGACGTGTTCAAGCTGCCATTTTGATCAATTTCAAAAGGTTTGAATCATCACCCCTGGTAGGAAAACATTGTGAATCTTTTTCATAAAATCAATTTAAACTTGAAATCTCACACCAGCCAGCACGTGTCTTTTGTGGCAGCTGCGATGGAGGGGAATGCTCTGAAGGCAAGTATAACTCAGCCACTGGGCGGGCTTTAAAGAGAACCTGACACTTTACCACTTATTGGAAAAATAAGAGTCGTTTTCAATTATGGACATCCCAAACCTGATCTGGTCTTTTTTGAATGAAGAATAAAAAAAAACACATAAAACAAAACAACAAAAAAACACACACACTTTTCTCAACAAGTATAACAGTATGCGGGGAGTTATTATTACATGGTCTAGGGCAGGGCTTGACAAATTTGCTTTGAAACTAGGAGCCAGCTAATAGTTAGGTGCCAGGTTTGTTTATCATGGTTGGCAACTTTTAGACGACAAGCTTCATATGATGCGATTTGCTGCGCGACAATCACGGCAAAACTGCACCAGGTTTTAGGAGCCATTGAAAATAATAGCATCTAAACATGCGTTTTTGGCGATCACAGCGATTCTGCCGTGATCCCAAAACACCCAGGTGTGAATGGAGCCGCCCCGGTTCACACATATTCTGGATGTGTTTTCAAACTCACAGATGTGCATGACAGGCTGGATATTGTGTGTTCCTACTGAGGTGGTTCACACAGATGCGATCCACCTGCATTGTGTTTTGAGTGCTATTGCAAAAAGGGTCCTGTGTGAGTTTGTAGCGGTGCATTCAAGACTTGCAAGCGATAGACACTGCAGAGATAAGTGTTCACGTAGGATTGCTATTGACAGGGGTTTTTGCGCCGACGGCAACGGGGAAGCAGTTCTGCGGCGGCAACGGCAACGCGATTGTGCGCCCGCGGCAACGGGGAAGCGATTGTGCGCCCGCGGCAACGGGGAAGCGATTGTGCGCCGCGGCAACGGGGAAGCGATTGTGCGCCCGCGGCAACGGGGGAAGCGATTGTGCGCCCGCGGGCAACGGGGAAGCGATTGTGCGCCCGCGGCAATAGAGAGGCAGTGTGTGAACCCAGGTGCCAGGACGCAATTTCTAGTTGCCAGTGGCGACCTGGTGCCTGGGATTTGCCTGGCCCTGGTCTAGGCTGTACTTAGCAGAAAGAGGTATAACACAACACACCATTGGGGTTGTTGCTTGAACATCCATGTACAGTGGTCTGAGCTCTGAATCCTCTTTGGACATTCTATCACGCCAGTCTGCTGAAAAACAAAATAACTCAGTTGAATACACTCAGCAAACTCCATCAGGTTATGCAATCAACATTCAAGGTGACGCCCAGTTCTGTCTGCTTTGGATTCATCAGCTTGTTTACTGACGATATGTCAAAGGAAAGGAGAACCGAGAGACACACAGAGGCTGCTATTTATTGCTGGCCTCCTTCTGAAAATGCTAGTTGCTGAGATTCACTAAAATCTAAAATGTACTGGACATCACTGGGAGAGGAGTAAAGGGGGAATTTGGAATAAAGGAGGGGGGAACACGGTGGAAGAGACAGACGGAGGAATGAGGGGGGAGAGGAGGGCAGACGGAGGAATGAGGGGGGTGGAGAGAGAGGCAGACGGAGGAATGAGAGGGGGGGGGGGGGGCAGACGGAGGAATGAGAGGGGGGGGGGGGCAGACGGAGGAATGAGAGGGGGGGGCAGACGGAGGAATGAAGGAGGGGGGGGGGCAGACGGAGGAATGAGGGGGGGGGGGGGCAGACGGAGGAATGAGAGGGGGGGGGGGCAGACGGAGGAATGAGGGGGGGGGGGGCAGACGGAGGAATGAGAGGGGGGGGGGAGCAGACGGAGGAATGAGAGGGGGGGGGCAGACGGAGGAATGAGAGGGGGGGGGGCAGACGGAGGAATGAGAGGGGGGGGGGGGGGGCAGACGGAGGAATGAGAGGGGGGGGGGGGGGGGGCAGACGGAGGAATGAGAGGGGGGGGGGGGGGGGGGGGCAGACGGAGGAATGAGAGGGGGGGGGGGGGGGGGACGGAGGAATGAGAGGGGGGGGGGGGCAGACGGAGGAATGAGAGGGGGGGGGGGGCAGACGGAGGAATGAGAGGGGGGGGGGGGGGGCAGACGGAGGAATGAGAGGGGGGGGGGGGGCAGACGGAGGAATGAGAGGGGGGGGGGCAGACGGAGGAATGAGAGGGGGGGGGGGCAGACGGAGGAATGAGAGGGGGGGGGGGGCAGACGGAGGAATGAGAGGGGGGGGGGGGCAGACGGAGGAATGAGAGGGGGGGGGGGGCAGACGGAGGAATGAGAGGGGGGGGGGGGGCAGACGGAGGAATGAGAGGGGGGGGGGGGCAGACGGAGGAATGAGAGGGGGGGGGGCAGACGGAGGAATGAGAGGGGGGGGGGGCAGACGGAGGAATGAGAGGGGGGGGGGGGCAGACGGAGGAATGAGAGGGGGGGGGGGGCAGACGGAGGAATGAGAGGGGGGGGGGGGCAGACGGAGGAATGAGGGGGGGGGGGGCAGACGGAGGAATGAGAGGGGGGGGGGGGGCAGACGGAGGAATGAGAGGGGGGGGGGGCAGACGGGAGAGAATGAGGGGGGGGGGGGGGGCAGACGGAGGAATGAGAGGGGGGGGGGGCGGGCCAGACGGAGGGCAGACGGAGGAATGAGAGGGGGGGGGGCAGGGGCAGACGGGGGGGAATGAGAGGGGGGGGGGGGGGCAGACGGAGGAATGAGAGGGGGGGGGGCAGACGGAGGAATGAGAGGGGGGGGGGGCAGACGGAGGAATGAGAGGGGGGGGGGGGGGCAGACGGAGGAAATGAGAGGGGGGGGGGGGGAGACGGAGGAATGAGAGGGGGGGGGGGCAGACGGAGGAATGAGAGGGGGGGGGGGCAGACGGAGGAATGGGAGGGGGGGGGGCAGACGGAGGAATGAGAGGGGGGGGGGGGGCAGACGGAGGAATGAGAGGGGGGGGGGGGCAGACGGAGGAATGAGAGGGGGGGGGGCAGACGGAGGAATGAGAGGGGGGGGGGGGGCAGACGGAGGAATGAGAGGGGGGGGGGCAGACGGAGGAATGAGAGGGGGGGGGGGGCAGACGGAGGAATGAGAGGGGGGGGGGGCAGACGGAGGAATGAGAGGGGGGGGGGGCAGGGCAGGAGGAATGAGAGGGGGGGGGCAGACGGAGGAATGAGAGGGGGGGGGGCAGACAGACGGAGGAATGAGAGGGGGGGGGGGGCAGACGGAGGAATGAGATGAGGGGGGGGGGGGGGCAGACGGAGGAATGGGGGGGGGGGGGGAGAGGCAGACGGAGGAATGGGGGGGGGGAGGGCAGACGGAGGGAATGGGGGGGGGGGGGCAGACGGAGGAATGGGGGGGGGGGGAAGAGAGGCAGACGGAGGAATGGGGGGGGGGGGGAAGAGAGGCAGACGGAGGAAGGGGGGGGGGGGGGGAGAGAGGCAGACGGAGGAATGAGGGGGGGGGGGAGAGACAGACGGAGGAATGAGGGGGGGGGGGGAGAGACAGACGGAGGAATGGGGGGGGAGACAGACGGAGGAATACCCGGATCTGCCCCCCTCAGCTGTCATTGCTATGTCTCCCCGCCCACACTATCCGGGCCTTCTCTCCAGGCCGAGGCCTAGACGGAGTACCTGTCCTCGCCTCACGGCTGGCTCTGGCGGCCGGGACTCTCCCGCACCCTCCAGCCGCCAGCAGCCTCCGTATCGCCGTCTTACACAACATCTCGTCCGCGGACTGCCTGGCTCGTTGTGTAACGAGTACCCCAGGCCAGGTGGGCGGACACTTTGCTGCGGCTTCCGGGGTGGGCGGGGGGCAGCGGGGCAACCCACACGTCATCAGTGTGCTGCGGCCTGGAGCGGACAGGTGATCGGAGGAGCGCGGATCGGGCACACAAGGGGTTGCAGAGGTGAGTCTCAAGACATGAAGGACGCTTACCGGCCGGCCCCCCCCCCCCCCCCATTACGCCATCCGATCCAATATAACGATACTATACAATATGAGAGCAAATGTCCCTGTGGCAGATCTAAAGAAGATTGTATAGTGTGTGGTCAGCATCGGACTGTGGGTTAGCTGCCTAAAAACTTCCACAAGAAGGAGCCATGTACTATGAGGCGGACATTGCCTTTGAAATTGCATCCCTCCTGGCTGCTTAAGGGTTGACTGGGAAAAAGCATGCAGCAAGTGAAGTCAGCTCTCCCGATTGGCATGCTTGCTCCTGGGCTCAGAATTCTTTGTGGTCATTGCATCTCCATGAAGTATATGTAGTAGTGGGTAGAGAAGGGTTAAAAACTTCCCTCAGCTTTTTATGTCCCATGGGGGAGATTTCCCTTCACTTCCTGTCCCACAGCCAAGACAGGAAGTGAGGGAATCCCTGGTTGTCACCGGCTTTAGTGTCCTCCATGTTAAATTTCCCCTCTATTCCTGTTCTGAGGACAATTAGAGGTCTCAAACTTTGAAGCCATGAGGGAACCCCCCCTTTTTTTTTTTTTATTAAATTTTTTTGGTGGGGGATTGGAAAAAAAATTTGAAAGTGATTTTGTTACACTGGAAATGTGAGGTGCAGGGGGTATAAAAGCAGGGACTGACAAATTCACAATGAATACAGGAGGCCAATAAAAAAAGTTAGGAGACCGTTTTGTATTTTCAGCATAACATGGGTTGTCAGCGGCCGGGGGCGAGGCGACTTTTAAGCAACAAACTTCACGTGATGCAACTTGCCCCGCGACAATCACGGCAAAACCGCAACACGTTTTAGTTGCCTTGGAAATAATGGCACCCGATTCTGCGTTTTGCGATTCTGCCGCAATCCCAAAACACTCAGATGTGAATGGAGCCGCCCGGTTCACACGCGTGATTCTGGATGTGTTTACAAACTCACAGATTGGCATGACAGGCTGGATGTTGTGTGTTCCTGTTGAGGTCGTTCATACAGATGCGATCCACACACATTGCGTTTTGAGTGCCGTTAGGCTACGTTCACACTAGCCTTGTTAGCAAGCGGCAGACAGGCGTTTGGGAAGCGTTTTTACAGTTTCCCAAATGCCTGGGAAAATTCTGCACATTACAGCACATGGTGCTGTTCACACGGGAGCGTTAGCGTCGCGGCAAAACGGACGCCTCTGGTCGAGTCAGAAGGAGTTGAAGCCTCCTCTTCTAGTCTAGGGTGTCGCTCCGCAAACGCCCGGCCGGCATTTGCGACGCGGTTCAGACTTCATTATAGGCGTTTGTGGGGCGCTATAAGGGCGTTTGGCAAGAGTTGGAAAAACAGTCCAGTGTGAACGAGCCCTTATGAAAAGGTCGTGTTTGTAGCGGTGCGTTCCAGAGTCGCAAGTGATCGAGTGGCATGCAGAGATAAGTGTATATTGGGATTGCTAATGGGAGGCGATTGTTTGGTTTTTTTTTTTCTGCACAGAAGTGGGTGGGAGGCGATTTTTCTGCACGGAAGTGGGTGGGAGGCGATTTTTCTGCATGGAGGTGGGTGGGAGGCGCTTTTTCTGCACGGAGGTGGGTGGGAGGCGGTTTTTCTGCACGGAGGTGGGTGGGAGGCGGTTTTTCTGCACGGAGGTGGGTGGGAGGCGATTTGTCTGCACGGAACTGGGTGGGAGGCGATTCTTGCATGGGGGTGGCTGGGTGGCGATTTGTCTGCATGGGGGTGGCTGGGAGGCGATTTGTCTGCACGGAGGTGGCTGGGAGGCGATTTGTCTGCACGGAGGTGGCTGGGAGGCGATTTGTCTGCACGGAGGTGGCTGGGAGGCGATTTGTCTGCACGGAGGTGGCTGGGAGGCGATTTGTCTGCACGGAGGTGGCTGGGAGGCGATTTGTCTGCACGGAGGTGGCTGGGAGGCGATTTGTCTGCACGGAGGTGGCTGGGAGGCGATTTGTCTGCACGGAGGTGGCTGGGAGGCGATTTTTCTGCACGGGGGTGGCTGGGAGGCAGTTTTGTTGCATGGAAGTCGGTGGGAGGAAATTGAGGAGAGAGAATTCGCACCAAAATCACACTTGTACTTAAATCGCACAGAAACCAGAATGACATTTCAATTTCATTACACAAATGTGTGAATCCAGGCGCCAGGACGCAGTTTATAGTCACCATGGTGACCTGGGATTTTTCTAGCCATTTTTTGTTTTTGTCAAAAACATTTAATAAAGAAAGTTTTTTTCCCAATTTTTCCTTTTTTTTTTTTCTCCCATCTCTAGTCACAACCCAAAAATTGTGATTATTTTTTTTTTTTTCTTCCTAACCCCTCTCCACTCCTCTCCACTCAAAACAAAAAAGGTTTGCCTTCAGTTATACTTTAATTACAGAGAAGTATTTTTAAATCCTACTTGCCTGCGTGGATGCAGCATTGATTCTGTGCTGCATCTGTCCCCGGTCGGCTCTAAGGGTGAGACCTGAGCGATCATACACTACTGATCGCTCCGTTCTCCCCTCCGCTCTGAGCAGAAAGCAGTGACTGTCAGTGTCTTCCCTCTCCCTCATTAGAGTGCTGGGCTGTGGAGGGGATGGGAGCAGCTGGCTCAGGCGGATCACTTTTGGGTGGATCCCAACTGCATGGTTGCAATCCTTCAGCAGCCTGGACCGGCTGAGTGACATCAGCCAGCAGCGGGCTTTAGCCTTCTGTTGGCAGGAAATGGGTCACCGGAGTGCAGAACAAACAAATCAGCTTTGGCTGGACTTCTTTTAATTAAAACAAGAGTTCCAGTTGAAGAAAAAAAAAGTCAGCAGATACAAAAACCGTAGCTGCTGACTTTTAAAATACAGCCACTTACCTGTCCCTCGGTCCAGCAGTGGCCTCACCACAGATGGTTTCACCGGCCGTCTTCTCACGCCAACATCTTCAGTGTGGTCACCCGGCTGTGACAGCTTGCGGCTTCACAGCCGGGTGCCCAGTGCGCATGCGTGAGCAGCGCTGTGCCTTGTGCAAGGTCCCAAAGTCTTCTGGGACCTATCGCGTGTCCCAGAAAACTACGGGGGGGGGGGGGGGGGAGGAGGACAACTTCCACTTCTGATCACCTAGTTCAGTGGTGGGCAACCTTTTTTTTTTCAACTGAGCCAAATCTCGCCAAAACCACGATTGAAATTTATTTTGAGAGCCACATTTTTAAAACTGAAAATACATCCCCCATATAGTGATTCATCCCCCATAGTGATTCATCCCCCATAGTGATTCATCCCCCATAGTAATTCATCCCCCATAGTAATTCATCCCCCATATAGTAATTCATCCCCCATAGTAATTCATCCCCCATATAGTAATTCATCCCCCATATAGTAATTCATGCCCCATATAGTATTCATCCCCCATAGTAATTCATCCCCCATAGTAATTCATCCCCCATAGTAATTCATCCCCCATAGTAATTCATCCCCCATAGTAATTCATCCCCCATTAATTCATCCCCCATATAGTAATTCATCCCCATATAGTAATTCATCCCCATATAGTAATTCATCCCCCATATAGTAATTCATCCCCCATATAGTAATTCATCCCCCATATAGTAATTCATCCCCCATATAGTAATTCATCCCCCATAGTAATTCATCCCCCATATAGTAATTCATCCCCACTATAGTAATTCATCCCCACTATAGTAATTCATCCCCCATATAGTAATTCATCCCCCATATAGTAATTCATCCCCCATATAGTAATTCATCCCCCATATAGTAATTCATCCCCCATATAGTAATTCATCCCCCATATAGTAATTCATCCCCCATATAGTAATTCATCCCCCATATAGTAATTCATCCCCCATATAGTAATTTATCCCCCATATAGTAATTCATCCCCCCTATAGTAATTCATTCCCCATATTGTGTCAATTCACTTACCTTTGCTCCGCGCGTTCCTCTCGCCGTGTTCCCGCGCCGTTCCGGTCTTCAGGGCGGACTGTGAGAGGAGTTCGTCACGCTGCCCCGCCTACATCCTGACAGCCAATGTTTGCCACGCTCCGCGGGCCGGATTAAAAGGTCCGCCTGGCCGTAGTTTGCCCATTGCTGGGCTAGCTGCAGAGTCCTGACTTTTGGGGCGGCCGCCCGAGAGGAGGGAGGGGAGCGGGGCGCCCAGCACACAGAAGAGCCGCATTAAAGTTTGTAAAGAGCCGCGGCTTGCCGACCACTGACCTAGTTGATCGCAGCAGAAGTGGGTACCTGTCAAATTCGGGTACCCCCCCACTCCCTAATACATAATGGGGAGCGGTGGACGAAGGCTTAAAGCGTAACTTCCCCTTTTGGGTGGAGCTCCCCTTTAAGGACACTGGACTATCCTCAGCAACACTAGCAGCTGCTAGTCAAAACACAAGATCATGTGACTCTGTATCCCTCCATTTCCGGTCTGAACAGTGTTGATGGCCACAAAGTAACATTTGTATACTTTTGTATCTACTCTGTTTATTTCTCTGTAAATCAAAGGTGGATCTTCAATCTGCAGTTACTGTCACTTAACCACTTCCTGTCCGGACACTTTTACCCCCTTCTTGTCCAGGCCAATTTTCAGCTTTCAGTGCTGTCATACTTTGACAACTGCACGGTCATGCAACACTGCACTCATGGATTTTTTAGCATTTTTTTAGACCGATAAAGCTTTATTTTGGTGGTATTTATTCACCACTGGGATTTTTATTTTTTTTTGCTATATAAATGAAAAAGTCAAAAAATTTTAAAGTGTTTTTCTTATAAAATTTTGCAAATAAATAATCTTTCTTCATAAATCTTGGCCAAAATTTATTCAGTTATCTTTTTAGTAAAAAAAAATAACCCAAATTAGTTTATAACCAAAAAATATAATTTTTTAAAAAATTTTTTACATTTTTATATATTTTTTTATTTTTACATACTGTCACTCTAGCAGTACAGTGTCACCATTGTGGGGGGTGATGACGATTTTTTATTTTTTTTTTTTTGTTTTTTTACACTGATTGCTTTTACACCCATAAAGGCTGTAAGCAGTAAGCAATCATTTCTCCTTCTCTCTGGCTGCATTCTTGCAGCCATTGAGAAATACTGTGTGAGCTGTGATTGGTCAGTTTGTCACATGGTACAAGGCTGTTGTGAATAGCCTTGTACCATGTGACCTCTGTGATCATTCACAGATTTCACACGTAGTAAGCAATGATGTCACAAGTGACATCTTGCGTACTATTCTGCATGTGATCACTGATTGGCCAATCAGTGATCACATGATCGGGACCTCACACAGAGGTCCCGTATGGTGATCGGTGTTCACCGGATCGCGGTGCTGCGCGCTCCCAGTCCAAAATGGCGGGCGCCGTTTATGAACGGCAACCCGCCCCTGGAGTGCCACTGTCTGGCCGATTATATACAATGGCCGAACAGCAAGTGAGAAATTCATTTTTTTAAAGGTTTGTCTATTTAACCCTCTATTTACCCTAATCATCCAATCCTTCCCTTTCTCCCTCCAACTATTGTTTTCTTGCCTCTTTTTCATTTCTGTTTTATTAACAATAAAATATTTTAACTGTTTGCCTGCCACCCTATAGCAGAAGTACTACTACAGGGCAGCAGGGCTGCGCAAAGTCACGTGCAGGGGCGGACTGACAACTCATGGGGCCCCGGGGCAATAGGGGATCATGGGGCCCCTGTGTCCTCACCCACACCCAAAAAAGCCTATGAAAAGGTACCAGGGGCATCTCATGGGGCCCCCTACTGACCCTGGGCCCTCGGGCAGTGCCCGAGTTCCCAAATGGTCAGTCCGCCCCTGCTCACGTGCATATATATGTGATTTACATTTCCGGATAGGGGCTGTGCACCGCCCTACCCGCGCTGCTATTGGCAGCTGGGGATGTCAATCACTGGGTCCCGGCCTGCATTTCCCAGCAGGAACTTGGCGATCGTCGGGTAAAGCTGACGGGTGTTCAGGCATACAGGGAATTGGTTCCAGTAATTGCCACCCTGCTAAGCCGATCACCCTCCCTGCCTGCATCCTATTCACCCAGCTGTCTGGGTCCCCTTCAGAAGGGCTGGTGGTACCCCCTTATCCAAGGCCCTGTATGCAAGGTAGATGGGAGAAGGGGGGAGGGAACATTTTTAAGAATAGTTATAGTTCTGCTTTTCTTCCACTTTAATGAACATTTTAATTCTTGCATTGCAGGGGGGCCCATTGCAAGTGTTTTTTTGTTTTTTTTTAATCCCAGCATTCAGCTTTAATGAAGAGTTTTGTTCTGCTCTTTGCTGTGCATTTATATCCAAACTTATCTGATAGATTGAGGCTGATTTACTAAAGGAATTGTCAATCTTCTCTCAAAAAAATTGTGTAGAAATTCATTTTAATTATTGAATATTCACAATTCAGTTAGTGAATATTCATTTTTAGTGAAGATTCTCAGCTCCTTCAGTAAATCCATCGGGCTCATGGTTTCAGGAAATGCTGATATGTCTTATTTTGCTCAGATTGATAAATATTAACAGGCTTGCTCTCCTGCAGATGCCGGTTACTGTAGGTGGACCTTATGGGCAGTCACAGCCCAGCTGCTTTGACAGAATAAAGATGGGCTTCATGATGGGTTGCACAGTGGGCATGGCAGCCGGGGCACTCTTTGGCACGTTCTCCTGTTTAAGGTAAGCAAACAAAACAAATGAGCGGTTTTCTTTCTGAGATGAGAGTCCACAAAAAGCAAATATTACCTTTTGGGACTCTGGACTGAGCAGCAGCTTTATTTAGAATCTGGTGTCTAGTTGTGCAGAGCTCTCAAACAGAAACAGTAGAGACCAGCAACAAAAATGGTTCAAGTAAAAATAAAAAATGAATATGTGTTGCTGAGTGAAAATAAATATGAAATTATATCCCTTGCCACTGTATCCTATGTGCATCAGGGGTGTGGAAATTTTATTAAAAAAACTACTTGTCTAAGGACCAAATTGGGGTCCCAATCTACATGTCCCTCATGACAGTCTACTTGTCCTGAAAAAAAAAAAATGTACAATTTTTTTTTTTTTCAGGATGGAAAATCTGAAGGGTTGCTGTTTATTAGGCAGATGTGCTTTTAAAAAGGAAAGGGGCTCTATGACAGCTTTAAACTTTTTAATGTTTTTTAATCTTTGCTAGAAAAGGTTCCCCAAATGGATCCCCAAACATTAGATAGATAGATAGATATAGATGGATGGATAGAGAGAGAGAAATATGGAATAGATAGAGATATGGATGGATAGAGAGAGAGAGAGAGAAATATGGAATAGATAGATAGATATGGAATAGATAGAGATATGGATGGATTTAGAGAGATGGAATAGATAGATAGATATGGAATAGATAGAGAGAGAGATGGATAGAGAGAGAGAGAGAGAAATATGGAAAGATGAAGAGAGAGAGAGAGAGAGAGAGAGAAATATGGAATAGATAGATAGAGAGAGAGATAAATATGAGATAGATAGATAGAGATAGAGGTGGAGAGAGAGAGAGAGAGAGAGAGAGGAATAGATGGAATAGATAGATGGAGAGAGAGAGAGAAATATGGAATAGATAGATAGAGAGAGAGAGAGAAATATGGAATAGATAGATAGAGAGAGAGATAAATATGAGATAGATAGATAGAGATAGAGGTGGATAGAGAGAGAGAGAGAGAGAGAGATGGAATAGATAGATAGATAGATAGATAGAGGTGGAGAGAGAGAGAGAGAGAGAGAGAGAGAGATGGAATAGATAGATGGATATAGAGAGAGAGAGAGATGGCTAGAGAGAGAGATAAATATGAGATAGATAGAGATATGGATGGATAGAGAGAGAGAGAGAGAGATATGGGATAGATAGAGAGAGACAGAGAGAGAGATATGGAATAGATAGATAGATGGAGAGAGAGAGAGAGAGAGAGAGAGAGAGATGGATAGGATAGAGAGAGAGATAAATATGGAATAGATAGATAGAGAATGGATGGATGGATAGAGAGAGAGAGAGAGAGATAGATAGATGGATGGATGGATAGAGAGAGAGATAAATATGGAATAGATAGAAAGAGAGAGAGATATAGATAGATCATTTTTTTTTTTTAATTATTTGTTTTTAAAAGCAGGGGCTGTAGAGAATAAATTTGCGGTTTTCAAGCGCAATTTAAATGCAAAAAAACACAATCTGTAACCCAGTTTTCTGATAAAGATGATGTTAGGCCGAGTAAATAGATCCTGATTATGTCACGCTTTAAAAATGTGCCTGCCCGTGCGATGGCAACAAACTATGTAAATTTTACTACCCATGGGCGACTACCCAAAAGCCTTCATAGGTTACCACTTTGGATTTACAGAGGAGTTCTGGTGCTAGAATTACAGTCCATGATCTGACGATCGCAGTGATTCCTCATGTGTGGGATGATCGCTGTTTGCATGCACGTAGGACTGACAAATGCAGTCGCCTTTGTGTGCGAGCACAGGGGATGGGGATGCTTTAAAAAAAAAAATATATATATATATATATATATATATATATATTATATATATATATATTTTATTTTTTTTTTACACTTTTATTTATTTGCATCTTTTTTCTCCCTTTTATTGCTGTCACAAGGAATGTAAACATTCCTTGTGACACAATAGGCAGTGACAGGTAATCTTTATGGAGTGATCTGGGGTCAGTAAGACCCCAGATCCCTCCTATGCCCTTTCTAAAAGCATTTGATTTTACCTTAGTGAACATTCTTGGCATGCCTCAGAGAATGAATGAGTTAAATCCTGTGTGCCTGCGTGAGAGTTATGTCAGCCCGACCATTGAAATGGCCAAAGATCCTGAACCTGGAAGAATTTGGAGTACAGATGTCATCTCTGGCAAGTGGAGATGAGTTTAGTTCCACTTTAAGGGTGACGGGACTATCTGACTATAACCGTTTGCTGAGCCACCAGAGTACATATACTGCAGGTACAGTACTGGTACATCATTGGTTTTTTCGGGTGTATATGCGTGTCCCCGCCCGCCTACTCTCCTGTGATTTGACACAGCGGGAGTTTGTCATCAGATCCCGACCTCTGATTTATGGCTGGGCTCTGCTGACTGGCTGTGTCGAATCCCAGCCTTGAGCCTTGTGTTGATAAACAACACAGGGCTTTTTACAGACAGAATGATCACTTTGCAAAGCAGGGAAAAGAAACAAATCAATGTGTAGTAAAAAGCAGCACACAGTACACACCAGGGGCAGACTGACCATTTGGAAACTCGGGCACTGCCCGAGGGCCCTGGGGTCAGTAGGGGGCCCCATGAGATGCCCCTGGTACCTTTTTCATAGGCTTTTTTGAGTTTGGGCAAGGACACAGGGGCCCCATGATCCCCTGTTCCCCGGGGGCCCCATGAGCTGTCAGTCCGCCCCTGGTACACACTTAACACTTGTTAGGCACACAAATCCTTGATTGCTCCTAGATGTTAACCCATTCTCAGCCAGTGTCATTAGTACAGGAACACTATTATTAGCACTGATCACTGTATTAGTAGGGATGCAGCGAGATTTCAGTGGCCGAAACATTTTGGCTGAAAAACACCCCCATCTGCCTTTTGACCAATATGAAAATAAGCACCGATACAGGTGTAAAAAATAACAGCACCCGCTGCTGCTCCTCAGCGCCCCTCGATGGTTCTCAGCCTGAGAAGTCATCGAACGATCCCGGCGCTGGGCAAAGCAATAAGTGAGAAAAGATGGCCTCCACTCATCTCTATGCCCCTGGAGGACCAGAGTGACATCACTACGTCACTTGCAGTTCCGGCACTTTGTAAACAAGGCCTTTTTTCTTTTTGTTTTTGTTTGATCTAATGCTTTACATTGTAGAGGAGAGATGTGGGGTCTTATTGTCCCAATATCTCTCCATAAAGAGGACCTGTCACTGCTTATTTCTATCACAAGGGATGCATGCATTCATTGTGATAGGGATACAAGTGATTTAAAAAAACATTTTTTTAAAGGGGCAGTGTAGAAAAAAAAAAGTTTAAAGTGCTCTCGTGCGTAGTGGTGAACGCATATGTGGGCCACTCGCCAAATATATAAACTGTGTTCAAACCACACGTGTGAGGTGTCGCCACGAATGTCCGAGCAATAATTCTAGCACTAGACCTCCTCTGTAACTTTAAACTGGTAACCTGTAGAAAATTTTTAAAGCGTCATCCATGGAGATTAAGTACCATAGTTGATGCTATTCCATGAGCATGCGCAATTTTAAAGTGTGACATGTTTTGTATCGATTTACTCAGTGTAACATTATCTTTCATATTTTACCAAAAAATTGAGGTGTCTATATATTGTGGTTTTTGGGGGGTTTTGTTTTTTTTGTTTTTTTTTTTTTCCAAAAAAAAATTGTGTTTGAAAAATATATTCATTTTTAAAAACTGTCTATTTCGGTTTTCGGCCAGGTGCATCCTGAATTTTCGGTTTCAACACCAGAATTTTCATTTCGGTGTACCACTATGTATTCGTGTCAGTCAGTTCCCACAAAGTGTCAGATTGTCCAACGCACTATTACAGTCCCACTATAAGTTGCTGATCGCCGCCATTAGTACTATAAAAAAAAAAAAAAAAGTAAAACTTCCAGTATACATTCCATAGCTTGTAGATGCTATAACTTTCAAGTCAACAAATTAATATACACGTATTGGGATGTCTTTCCTTTTGTTTTGTTTTTTTTTTTTTTTTTACCGAAGACATACAGCAGAAAACATTTTGGCTTAAATTCATTAAGATATATGTGTGTGTGTGTGTGTGTGTGTGTGTGTGTGTGTGTATATATATATATATATATGTGTATGTGTGTGTGTGTGTATATATACAGTTGCAAGAAAAAGTATGTGAACCCCTTGGGATTACGTGGAGTTTTGCATGAATTGGGCATAAAATGTGCTCTGAACGTCATCTAAGTCACAACAATAGAAGAACACAGTCTGCTGAACATAATACTACACAAACATTAGATGTTGCCATGGTTTAATTGCACATAACATGTAAATATTCACAGTGCAGGGAGGAAAAAGTATGTGAGGCCCTAGCTTAATGACTTCTCCCAGAGCTAATTGGAGCCAGGAGTGAGCCAACCTTGACTCCAATCAGTGTGATGATATTGGATGTGTTGCTGACAGCTGTCCTGCCCTTAAAAAACACACACCTGTTTTGGGTTTACTGGTTTCAAGAAGCACTGTCCGATGTGAACCATGCCTCGCAGAAAAGAGCTCTTGCATGAAGCTGGAAAGGGTTACAAAAGTATCTCCAAAAGCCTTGATGTTGATGTTGATGTGTCCACGGTAAGACAGACTGTCTACAAATGGAGAAAGTTTAGCACTGTTGCTACTCTCCCTAGGCGTGGTCGTCCTGTAAAAATGACTGCAAGAGCACAGCGCAGAATGCTGCATGAGGTAAAGAAGAATCCCAGAGTGTCAGCTAAAGACCTACAGAGATCTCTGGCACATGCTAACATTTTTGTTGACACATCTACAATAAGGAAAACATTAAACAAAAATGGAGTACATGGGAGGACACCACGGAGGAAGCCATTGCTGTCCAAAAAGAATATTGCAGCACGTTTAAAGTTTGCAAAAGAGCACCTGGATTTCCACAGCGCTACTGGCAAAATATACTGTGGACAGGTGAAACCAAGATTGAGTTGTTTGGGAAGAACACACAACACTATGTGTGGAGAAAAAAAGGCACAGCACACCAACATCAAAACCTCATCCCCACTGTAAAACATGGCGGAGGGAGCATCATGGTTTGGGGCTGCTTTGCTGCCTCAGGGCCTGGACGGATTGTTGTCATTGATGGGAAAATGAATTCCAGAGTTTATCAAGACATTTTGCACGAAAACGTACGACCATCTGTCCACCAACTCCGCAGAGGATGGGTGATGCAACAGGACAATGACCCAAAGCATACAAGTAATTCAACAAAACAATGGCTGCAACAGCACAGAATACGCCTTCTGGAGTGGCCCAGTCAGAGTCCTGACCTCAACCCGATTGAAATGCTGTGGCATGACCTTAAGAGAGCGATTCACACCAGACATCTCAAGAATATTGCTACACTGAAACAGTTTTGTGAAGAGGAGTGGTCCAAAATGACTCCAGATCGTTGTGCAGGTCTGATCTGCAACTACAGGAAACGTTTGGTTTGAGGTTATTGCTGCCAAAGGAGGGTCAACCAGTTATTAAGTCCAAAGGTTCACATACTTTTTCCTCCCTGCACTGTGAATGTTTACATGTTATGTGCAATTAAACCATGGCAACATCTAATGTTTGTGCGGTATTGTGTTCAGCAGACTGTGTTCTTCTATTTTTTTTTTTTTTTTTTTTTTTTCAAAATGTTTTCTGTTTATGTAATAAAAACTAAATAACCCAGTGGTGATCAAATACCACCAAAAGAAAGTTCTATTTCTGTAAAATAAAAAACTATATGAATTTTCATTTGGGTACAGTGTTGCATGACCGCGCAATGGCCAGGTAAAGTAGCACAGTGCTTCATAGCAAAAAATGGCCTGGTCGTGAAGAGGGTAAAATCTTCCAGTGCTTAACATCATGTTAGCAGTTCAGGTATTTATTTTCTTGATCGGAGCTGCTCTTTAACTGAACATGGAGAGTAGCAGAGTTGTGTATAGCAGACACGTAGCATTGATGTCACCTTTTTTCTCTTTCAGAGTTGGAATGAGAGGACGAGAACTTTTTGGCGGCGTTGCAAAGACCATGATGCAAAGCGGTGGCACCTTTGGGACATTTATGGCCATTGGAATGGGGATTCGGTGTTGAATTGTGTTAGTTGATGGCTGCATCATCGACCTATAAAATATTTCACAGAAATCATTTACAGCGTCCCTATCCATGTTTAGATAGATGCCATTCTGTATAGCCGTCCCTGGAAATGGCTGGTTTGTTCAGTGAGAACAGAGGCACACGGTCTAGTCCTTTTATTGCTCTGTTCATTCAGGTTGAATTCCATTAACATGACCTTCCAGTATAGAATTATCCGCCATTTGTGTCCGTTTGGCGTAAGCTCTCATTTGAGGGTTTTTCTTTCAAATGAACACTACCATGATTTGTTATATATTGCCTTCTATCATTTTAACTAGGAACAATAAAACCTTTTTTCCAATTTAGATACTTGTTGCAAGTTTGTTTTTTTTTGTTTCAGATCATGTTTTTGGCCAGTAATGGCCCCCATATTTCATGGAACACAATGTTCTGAAACTGCAGTTTGCCTGCAATCTAAAGCAGGTTTGGAGTGAATTAGTCTTGAGGAAAGTAGGGAGATCATTGAAACCTATAAAGCAGACCTGAATAAAAAAGTAACAAGAAAAACTAGAAAAGCTCCAATTTCTGGGGAAATTGTGTGAAGTGTTCTTGCCTCCACCAGTAGTCTACAATTGGAGTGGGTGGAGAAACTGGGGGGAGCGGCTTGTCACTCTGCTGCCTTCTCACACACCTGGGTTCCTATGGCAACTCACTCTACAGCAAGGGCAGAGAAGAGCGGTTAAAAACAAACTGCTCCAACTTGCTCACTTCACTGGCGTATTCAAACGGTTGTAGTTTAAAAACTATAAATCCTACACCGTAGAGCTTTATATTGTGAATCACAAGACCCAGGCCTACATTTTGATGCATAGTATGTCTCTGAAATATTAAATGAAGGCACAGCTGCAGTTTAGAACTTGCCCTTCAAATTTGAGGTGGCTAGATTGGAGTTTCAATGAATGTCAACGGGCGGCGTGAGTTGCAAACAAATGGTCATATTGTGAATACTATCATGACTATGGCTTAGCCGTGGACATTTTTAGTGGCAGCAGGGATAGCTGAACGTTTTGATATAAGATTTGTGTAGGTTGGCTTGAAAATGAGGGAGTGATGGCAGTTTAGAAATCGTCCTGATTTTTCAGCTCACACTCTAGCTTTTGTCAGCTCCCACTCTAGTTTTGAACATTCCGCCATTCATTCCTATGGGACCAATTTCACCACAAAAACAGCGATATTTCGTGAACCATTCGGTGAAACGTTCCACAAAGTAATAGCGCACCAATCAGGAACAATCCGCACGTTTCGGTATATTACTGTCTATGTAGTGTAAAAAACTGTGGGAGGAGTTAGGGTGGTAAATTTGGCTATAATAATAAGAATATATATGTGAGATAACAGTAAGTGGTCGCCATGCAAGAACACGTAATAAATAGACTGTTTAAAAGCTGAAATAACAAAACTAGCTTTTACTGCAATATTCACCTTCAATACAAAGATTTACCCCACAGTGCCTTTTCTGCCACTAGATGCCTTGCCTGTTGTGGCCAGTATCATTCAACGCACTTCATCTGAACCCAGATCAGCCTGGATCTGCCCCAGCCTGTAACTAGACAGTGAAAGGAGAAGCAGCACTCTTTGTCACTCTGCTGTCTTCTCCTATCAGCATGCCCCTTGTCAGCACATAAATTGATTGGTTTCTTGTACTGCTATCTCTGTCATACAGCCCTGATGTATAGGGAATGCATGAGGCTGATCATAGGTCAAATTTTGACAGGTCAAAAGGCTGGGTGCTCCTATATTATTTATTATTATTATATATATTTTTTTTTTATAGAACTTTTTATTTAGTTCTGCTCATCCAGTTTTAAAATCCCAAGGCACATTGCTGTACTTTATGAATGTGCCTGTGTTTTCTTTTTTACAGTAGCAATATAGTCATGGAGTAGCCATACTGCCGCTTTTGAAATGACAGTCACAATGTCTAGACAGCCTTTCTCAACCAGGGTGTCCAGGGTGCCTTGAGGTCCCTTTTAGGGGTGCCTTGGCAAAATGTCTAAAAATTGCATAAAAACTTGTATACAAGCCATCGGGTGGAACAAGCCTGCCTTTTAGTTACACAAAGCCACAGGTTTTCATTGAGCACCATTACGACATTCTAGCCGCCGGCGTCCTGACAACCAATGACCTCATCAGTCAGTTGATAAGGAGGATGCCAGCTGCCTGCCCAGCATCCTAGTTTGACCCTCCCCCGCCCCTCTCCATCAGTGCTGGGGTCACATTAGCTCAGTGATGGAGAAAAAACTGAGGGAGAGGAGAAACATTGGAATACTAGTCAGTACCAGTATGCAAAAGTGTACTTGCTTTGGAATAATAAATCACCTCTAATGTTGAGTGTCCTACATGTGTGGATGTTGCTGCATTATATAAAACTATTAGAATAGTTTTTCACATTTTAGAATGGGGTGCTTTGAGACTGTGTGCATAATTTTAAAGGGTGCCTTGACTGAAAAAAGGTTGAGAAACACTGGTCTAGGACACGCTCTATGAATTCCAGGGACTCTATACAAAGCCAATTGGAGCAGCTATGTACCTTTTTGGGATTGCTGGGGTTGGTCAGAGAGCCCAATCACAGCTGTAAGCAGTATAGTGTTTACATGTGAGTTTTCCCCTTCCTCATGGCTAGGGAAGGGGAGAAAACAGAGTCGTGTATTAATTGTGGAACATGGCACAAATCAATGAAGCAGATTTAGGCTCCATTCACACTTACATGACTTGGACCCAAAGTCGTATGAATTGGCTCTTCGGTAAACTATTGCGTTTTTGTGTTGTTGTGGTTTGTTTTTTTTTGTGTGAGGTGGTGTTTATTTATTTATATCAGGTACTTATATAGCGCCATCAATTTTACATATTTTACATATTATACATTCACATCAGTCCCTAACTCTAAAGGGGTGTACAATCTAAGGTCCCTAACTCATATTCACATACTAGGGCCAATTTAGACAGGATCCAATTCACCTACCAGCATGTCTTTGGAGTGTGGGAGTAAACCAGAATACCCGGAGGAAACCCACGCAGGCACAGGGAGAACATGCAAACTCCAGGCAGGTGGTGCCGTGGCTGAGATTCGAACCAACGACCCTAGTATTGCCAGGCGGAAGTGCTAACCATTTAGCCACTCTGTTGCCCGTATACTGGAATCAACATTTTTCAGTGTCTGTTGTGTTTTTTTTTTTGTTTTTTTTACCCTGTCAACCCCCCTTCCCTATAAATCTGATTTTCATCCTGTCTACTGTGACCTGTACATTAACCCTTTCATATTCATCCTGCCACTGTATGTGAGTTGTACGTCGAGCCCATTACTACCACCTCCCTTCAGACTTTTTGTGGCAAAAAATGAGATCACCTTGGGGTGTCTGTTTTCCAAAAAGGGGGCATTTTATGGTTATTCATACTCTCCTGGCATTTTTTTTTAACAAAAAGTAAGAAACTTTTTTTTTTTCCCACCCATTCTTTTTATATAGAAAACAGTGGTCTTTGAATATTGCCAACAATGAAAGCGCTTCTACAGTCCTCTGTTAAAAATAAAATTAGGGCAGCAGCTACAACAACTGTAGCTGCTGACTTCTAATAATTGGGTACTTGCCTGTCCCAGGATCCAGCAATGTCCCCCGGCCAGTTTCTTCACCGGGCTTTGGTCCTCGGTGCCAGCATACAAACTGCTTTCAGCTTCACAGCCAGTTGCTTACTGTGAAATCTGGTCCCCCAGCTTTCTGGGACCTGTGACGTGTCTCGAAGACTGCAGGGGGAAAATGGGGGGGCACGAACATCTGCTCAGATCGCCTTGGCAATCTATCTGCCTCCCTCCCCCCAAAAAGACAGATGTGCCAAATCTGCAGAAGGAAAAGCGAAAACTTCCCCTTTTTATGTGAAGTTCTGCTTTAAGCTCTCTGACATAATGATATACATTTAATGGGGGTACAATGTTGCATGACAGAGTAATTGTCAGCCAAGCTGTCACAGTTCTAAAAAATGGTCTGGTCTGAAAAGGAGTTTACCATGCCATTCCCCAAGTGGTTAAAGAAGGTATTTAATTAATGAAGCGTGTGACGTCATGTGCCTTATTTTGTGCATGCGTCTACAACATTACACTCACCTGTTGGTTAAAAAAAACCTTTTCTTCTGAGATTTTGCAAAAGAGAGCAAACTCTTTCCCTGCACCCCTTTGACAGCACTGGGCCATCATAGGTCAACGATGCTGTCCCATGCTTCCTTTATAAAGGACTATTGGGTATGTCTGGGTAACTGTTGGTAGGGTAGTATGCTGCTGCTGAGGGGGGGGAATTAAACTAACACCTTGATTTCCCACCTATGGGGCTCATTCTAAGAGAGGACACTAAAAAGGTTTATGTATGAAAATATTTTGTGGAGCAACATGCACTCTCTGAGGTATATAAGCTACTTTTGAGCCCAGGCGAAAAGAAAGATTGGAAGGAAGGAAGAGGAGTTGACAGGGAGCATAACCTGAGTTGGTAGTCCTGGCAAACTCCTGCACCCAGGCATCTGGAATGCAAGCTGTCCAAGCACTCGCAAGAGTCAACGAGATATCTCTCTCACTATGAGAAGTAGGAGCATACCTTCATTCAGAGGAAGACTGGTCTGAAGATTGCGAATCCTTCTGAAGTAGTCGTGATTGAATGACGAAACGTGTTGAGTGTGGCCAGATGACGTCATCACGCAAAGAGGAACCGGACGTTGGGCATCTTGGACAGTTATCTGATGCCAAAGTCCAGCCTTAGGGAGGAAATTGTTGCTTTTAAAGAGGCAATCTATTCTATGTGCACTGGATGTAGTGCACTTAATTTGTGAGTGAGATGTTAACCCTTTAGTTTGATAAACTGTTATGATGAGCTGATATATTGTGCAACGAGATTCTTTTTGTTCTTTTGAGCAAATATGTGGTGGAATGGTGTTTCATGTGACGAGAAGACATGGATGAGCTGCAAGGAGACATAGTT